AATCTATTTTGTCATTTAAAAGTTGAATTTCTTGCCTAAAGTCAATAAAATAATTTTTAGAGCTTCCAGAAATAAGAAAAAAGCTGCGGTCACAATTGTGACCGGTGGGATTAAACGGGTTAATGACTGAATTTTCCTTTTTGGGGGAACTAACCCTTTAACAGCTTTAAAGAGGCAAAGAACTACAATCCCATTAAGCACTGCGAATGACAATGAAACCAAAATCAATGGAGAAATACAATTGATTTAACTATTGAAGATGAATATTTAATAGAAACAATATATTTTACATTTATTGCAAAATTTGCATACAAATATGTATGCAGTCTGAGAGCGCTGACTATCACGTCATGTGCAGTGCTTCATGGGAGTGGGTGGGCTCTAAAGAAATCTTTTAGCACGATTTGTTTGTTTTGATTCTCTGATTGTTGGAGATTTCTTTGTAGAATCGTTGGTAATGTAGTTTTTTATTTATAGAAAGATCCTGCAGAATCCTATCTTATCTGTTTGGTAACCATGGCAATTTAGGACCTCATTTAGGACAAAAGCTATTACAGAATGACATTTCTTAAGTGCATGATCTTATCTTGACTACGGATAGGAAAAGGGTATTACAGAAGCATTCTAACTCCACAAAAAAAATCCAAAAAACGGTCTTAACTTTTCAAGTTAAGACCCCAATGGTGTCCTAACTTCAAAAGTATTTGAAAGCCAGCTATAAAAATCTCATAACAACAGCCCTGACTAAGAATGGCGACACATTTATTAATGATACAAGATGAAGAACAGCGATGTTTGATGGTGGAAAGACTTTGTGAACACCCAAATGATGTGCTGCACTTTGACGACAAAACTCTGACAAATGATTAAAGACTCCAATGAAATTAAAGGATTAAGCTTTGCCTTTTCAACCAAGCTTATCAAAACTTCATTTAATGAAAAGCACCACACGAGAAAACGGCGCGAGGCCGGTGGCGTGATTACTGATGAGCGCCCCCTGTGGACATAAGTGTTCCTGCACCGGTCTCATATAAATCTCACAGAACCATAAGAGGAGGAGTGACGAGAGAGGACCAGGCCTGGACTATTTATGTTATGTTATTTCATGTTTTGTTTAGTTTGTGTGTGTGCGGCAGTTGGCTGTGAAGGGCTGTTGCCTTTACTTTCGTTTTGTGTTTATTTATTTTGTGATTATTAAATTTGTTAAATGTTTGCCGGTTCTTGCCTTCTTCCCACAACAACATACCTTCATTACAACCACTTATTTTTGTTTCTTCATTCTAATCTCTAGAGTTTTCCCGTTTTACTTCTGTTTGTGTGTCGTAGGTTTGCTTGGTAACAGACCTGAGAGTTGATTACCGAACTCGATGGAGGGGTTTAAGATTTCCTATCTACAGCTAAGATGGGATTTTGTAAGATAGGATAAGAATCCTAAATCAATTTAAGATTTGCTTCTGTAATATGAATTTGTGAAAAAGCCTAAATTAACCTGTCAGATCTTAACATACGACACGTCCCCAGGAATACCACTGTCAAACACAAATATTTCCAAAAGATAAGTTCAACAAAAGCATATAACATTGATTTACAGCCTCGTGGCTCACAGTAGGTCTGTCTTTAAAGGTTTAGAAGTCATCATTAGAAAAATAATGGGATTTTTACTCCAGGAACCCAACTGCTGCCGAGCTTGATGTTGATGTTATCATGTTGCTAAGCTAACGGTGGGAAACTAAGCACAAAAACACTGAAAATGAACATTGAATGAATTATTTCTAGCAATATTTTTCAGTAATAAAATGTTTATTTCCTTTAACTAAGCAACGAAATCTTGGGCAGAAATATCTTATCAGAAACAAAGCAGCATAGCTCTATATAGCTTATGTAAGGTTATTTATGATTTTTGACTTCCCTGATGCCATAAATGTAATGCTCTCTAGATAGAAGAACCTAAACAATATAGAGGTCACACAATTGAAACTCCATCGAAACCAGTTTGTAGTTGAAAATTACAGACTGCAGATTGCATATTACATTACTCATGCCAACACAAAACATCTTTAATTATCTTCTAACTATCCACCCGTTTCAGAGTTAAATGTTATGAGTAATTTGAACCGTTAAATCGTTAAATCTATAGGTCTTTCTCAAAACGGGCTCAAAACAAGGACTAAAGCAAGTACAGGAATGCAGACTTACAATCTGAATTAACGGTGGCTCATTAGGTGGACACAATGAGGCTTTTAAAAACAATCCACAAACACAAACACACTCACAGTAGCCCGTCTGCAGCACCCAAAAAGAAAACCAAATCTTGTGCGTTTCAATTCTCAGGCCAGGATCTGACAGACCTCCTCTGACTATGAGAAACACAGAGGTTACACACTAAAAAAAGGCTTAGAAACAAAAAGAGTGATGCATCATCTAGGCCTTTTTATAAACCCGATAAGCAATATTGATGTCACTGTACAAGCGCAACAGAGGAAAACAGTAATCAGATTATGTAAGGCTGCATTGTTGCGTCGTTACAGTGGGAAATAAATTAAGATGACAAATTACATGGACGAATCTTCCTTTATATGAATGTATAAAGTGAAACTGCATATTTTAGACACTGGGACAGGTCACCATTTCTTTTAAGGCAAGACGCTACAGATAAAACGATTTTTGTTGTCATTCATCCACTGGTTAATTTTAAGATTTTGGGGTCTTCCACGTCTTCATTCAGACTAGTAGAAAGAAAACATCCAAAATACACATTTAAGTGTTTATTTAATTATTAGCCTACACTTCAAACTGTCTCAAACCGAGTTGTTTCTCCAGAAATTAACCAGAAATCTCCACTTAGGCCTACACACTAGACTTTACAGTAATTCTGAAGGTTTTGAAAGAGGAGTTTGGGGATTTTTGGATATCTCTTTATATCACTCCATCTGTAAAATCCTTTCTAACATGCCATCAAAATGAAACAAGAAATTTTAACCTGGCTTTATCTAATGTTCAGACTTCTGTACAGGGAATTCATGCAAATGAGTGCATATTTAACTGCTTTTTTTAAACATAAAATCTCAGAAAACCTGCAATACACAGTGTGTCTTAATGTACTGTGATGAGCCAACTAGCGAAGTATGGTGATGGTGTCTTGCCTTAAAGGTAGGGACGGCAATTTTCGAAGAGGCTAGCAATAGCGAGCTAGCTTTGAAAGCATAAGATCCCACCCTCCCTTGAGAGCGTCACCAAAGCCACGCCTCCTTCAAAACAGATGAACACACACAGCAAAGTCTGCAAAGCGTCACGAGACGAAAGATTGAGTTAAACTACCTCAAAACACATAACATTACAATAATAATGACCATAAACAACCACAAGAGCTCTGACCTGTACCATCTGACTGCTGCAGATTAATTTCGCCTTGATATTGTTGACATTATATGATACTGAGTATAACGTCACGGGTCGCCATCTCTTCCAAATTACAGTAGTTATGGCGTGAACGCAGCATAAGCTGGTTGTTTTGGTTCAGGAGGAACAGTAAAAGGCGGCTGCTGTTTCGGTCGCCGTGCTCGTGACTGATGTCTGTCTAACTCATAGCATGAAACACGCTGATGACGAGTGATGTCTGTGCGAGCAGGTGCGCGGAGGTGTGGAAATACATACACTGACAGGACGAACATTTATGGTCCTACGCCTTCTACAGATTATATACAAATACATTTAACTTAGTGCTTGTTATCAGGATGGGAAGAGACTTTCAACCAGCATAACAAAAAATAGGGAATAAATCACCTATCCTGCCTTTTTGAGAGAGAGAGAGAGAGAGAGAGAGAGAGAGAGAGAGAGAGAGAGAGAGAGAGAGAGAGAGAGAGAGAGAGAGAGAGAGAGAGAGAGAGAGAGAGAGAGAGAGAGAGAGATGTTTAGGATGGCGTAAATGATGTCACTGCAGGAGACTGCTGTCACTGATGGACGTCATCAACCCACATATCCAAGCATCCATCAGTTTATACAGTTTCTTTTTTTGTTATTTCTTAAGTTAAAAAATTAAACATACCGAGCACTTCAGTGTAATTATCAGCCGTCTGCTCAAGACCTCCATCATCTTTGTGGGTGTACTATTAACAAAGTGGTTCGTGATAGTGGGCGAATATGACACATAGGTGCGTTCAGAGCACGCGCTCACATGATCCATGTTCATATTCACATTCATATTGAGGTCAAAACTACTACATTTCTTTACATCATAACATCATAATTCCCAGACAACACCATGTCTGCTGAAAGGATTAAGCACGTGCGATTAAAGTCCTCATGGAAAACGATCACGGGCAAATTTGATCCGGTCTCATATTAAGGCATAATTTGTTTTTATATATGTATTTTACTTAGGGATGAATTCAGGTTGATTGGGACACTTTTTCCCAGTCATCTCAATGGCAAATATAGGACCCAATCAACCTGAATTCACCCCTATATTTGATACAATTTTTATTGTTGTTACTGTTAAACATCCCATCAGATTATTCATGTTCTCGGTGCCCAATGGGTGGAAGAAAGCACACTTTTAGACCTTTTAACAGACTATTATTCAGTTCAATTAATTAAGAGAGCCAGACTGAACGCATATCGTATAGCAAGACATTGCTGGGCCACAACCAACAGCTTTCCACCTCTCATATGGTCTTTGTGTTGTGAAAAACGCTGAGTTTACACACTGTTCACCTTCACACATGCTTTCCTCCGCAGTCACTGAACAATGAGCAAACGCTGCTCTCAAAACAGACAGGTGAGAGAGAACAGGAGATTTGAGAAGGAAACAAAAAATGTGTCAGACTCAATGGGCTGCGTCTCAAAACATAGCCAGCAGCCTAGCTAGATAGACTGTCTTTTGCTGTTTTTGCGCAGTTTGGGGGCTCTCGTGCTGCCTACACATGTTCAGCTGACTCAGAAGAAGAAATTGCACTCTAGAAAGGTAGCACACTAGGGTTTGACACACGGCCACTTCATACCTGCATTGCCGTAGGATTTCGCCAGCAGCCACCCGACACTGGCGCAGATTCTGGCTCTGCTCGAGTCATACTGATCCAACGGCTTTATGTCCGGGACCACAAAAGTCTTCCTCATTGCATTCGAGTCCACCATAGCAGGTCCAAAACAGACGGGCCGGGAAAAACAGAGGAAGGCGATGCGGCGAGAAATGAAATCAAACGCTCATCCTTCTCTTTCACGCGACCACAGCACGGCCGATGATTCTGGTAGCGTTCCGGCGAAAATAAAATAAAGTAATTCACAATTTATTCCTCTTTAGATCTTCTTTTTAATACATCCAGTATAGCTGGCGGGTGTATATGGCTGTTTTAGTCTATCGGAGCGACAAATTCAGCGATATTCCAGGGGATGTTTCACTATTTTCGACCCCGCTTCAGAGTCCACATCGCTCTAGCTGATACGCTCCGGACTGATTTCCAGGTACTCCATACTCCTGTCAATCACCCTCCCGGGCGTCCAATCAGGTGTCAGCGAGACAGCGCTGAGGGGGCGGGGCTAAGCTTGTGAACTCAAGCAGCAGGTAGCAAGGCGCTTTAACTCATGGAAACAGGTGCAGGACAGGTAGAACTTGCCCAGAAGAGTGCGAAGAGGAAATATTAGTCATTATGAACAGCGTCGTACATATAATTGGCACGGCATTACAATCCTAAACCGACTGCAGTGTTAACAGCAAGAGTTTTATTGTTTCTTGGGAGGATTTTCTATTTTAAGAGCTATTTTGTTGCAAAGTTAACTTATGGCCTATAATTTTGCTTCACACTATATTTAATAAAATAACATACTTCGACAAACCTGTATTTAGGCCACGGCATGTCGTAAACTAGTGCAGACTTTACCAAACCCAGTCTTAAATCACCAAAACAATGTAAGCACTTAAATGCACATTCACAGAGAATCGTTCACAGCTGTGAACAAACCTAACAGAGTTCACTGAAGGTCCAGGTCACATGATGTTAGAGAGACCACTGCTGTAACTTTGTAGGAAGATTAACTCACAGAACTATTTTAATCTAATTAGGGAGGAACAGTGAATTCGTTTTTTCTCATTCTTTGGTTTTCCAGTTTTCTTTGTAGTAGAACCAGCACTTAAACTGTACTGCTCATTAACAAATCCAATTTGATATAAACAGCCTCGAACATCTTTAAAAGAATTAATGTACATCCCATTACACACAGAATAAGAAACTTGAACAAAAAGAAAGTTTAAAGAGACAGAGTGATCGATAACCAGATGTGCCAAACTGACATATTAGTGAAACCACAGCATGATTCAGATTCAACAGCTCCACCCATGTGTCCGTGCAACGATGGGCAGAGCCTTCAGAGACTTGGCAGTATTGCAATCTGATAACAAACAATTTGTAGATGTCATGCATGGGGGATTGATCTTTTAATGTACAGTAGACAGATGGGGAAAAACAATGCAATTCTAGCGCTTTAACATTTTAATGTCATCCAATGTCATCATGAAAAAAAAAATGAAAGCATACAAATGCTGCAAAGAGTGACACCATGTGGTCTGAATTGGTATTGCTAAAGTGTAGCAAACCATTTACATAATTCATGTTGCTAATGATTTTCACTGTTTCTTGGTTACTGAACTGCAACAAATTCAGTCCTCCTTTAGTCCTCCGAAGACAGCAGTGGGGACAGACTTCTGCTCCAACTGGACTTCTGAAATGACACGCATGCAAATGATCAGCAACTGTTCAAAGACCGAACACTCAAAATGCTGATGAAGTGTTCGAGTATCTAGGAAGAAAACAAAACAATCATGTTCCATCTGAACTAACCATCCGGTTCCCCATCCTCTGCATCCTCATCATCATCATCAATGTCAATCTCATCAGGATTAGCTTGTTTGGCCAGTTGGGCGAGTTCACTGCGAGAGGTGTCACTTCTGTACAAACCAAACAAATGTCAAGTGATGTAAATATAGCACAATAGAAACTTCATTTCCAAAGAGGGCAGAATCGTTTGAATAAGCCATTGAGCCGGGCTTGTGCTCTGATTGGCTCGTGTGGCCCGCCTCAGACTAGGGCACAGCTGTACACACACCTGACGAAAAGGATCTTGTCTTTAGGTTTGGGTTTGTCCTGTTCGGCCTCTACGGCCAGTTGCTGTGCCTTCTGCTCCAGCAGCCTCATGTCATCCACTCCGCTCTGCCCCGGAGCAAGATCTGACACTGAAACACACAACACAAACGTTTACACACACACTGGATAATGAATGATAATATGCTGTTACATAACCTCGATTTGTGGATCATTCCCAACACCCATTTGCTTACCGCATAAATTTCACGTGGCAAATATAGATTGTCATTCTAGAAAATAACAGATTCTGCACCATTCTCAGGTTATTTTAGTATCATTTATATACTATTATAGAATTTATTCATTAATTAGCTTTAATTGTTATATATATTTTCACATTTCATTTCAAAATTTGAGTAATTGTTATGCGTGTCATTTATTTTTCTAATTTATATATATATATCGTAGCTTTAATTTACTTTTCAGTTTTAATTTAATTCAACCTAAACATATAGTTATAAGCTTGAGTACTTCAACTTAAATGTAGTTTTCTTAAAGTTTTGTCTAATATTTACATTTCAGCCTTAATTCAATTAACAAAACCATTTTTTATGTTTTCAAATTTAGTTAATTGAAACACTCCTCCAGTTATTAGTTTGGTAGAATCAACTGTTTTTATAAAGACACTTTTTTCCTGCAAAGTGAACATGAAACAACAGCCACAACATTAGCCTAAAGAACATATATTAAAACTAATCAATTTTGATTTCCTGTTGGCAAGGCAAAGCAAGTTTATTTATATAGCACATTTCATACACTATGGCAATTCAAAGTGCTTTACAGAAAGGAATGAAAATAATCACAAAATAAAAGCAAGGAAAATTAAAACAGTTATAAAAGAAATTAAAAGGCTTTAAAGGGGTCATAACATGGAGTTTTTATTTGAATATGTTCCTTGAGGTTCGTATACGTTAATAGAGGTTGACCCTCTGTCTGAATTGACGCGTTTTTAAGGGGCGGCTCCTTTAAGGCTTGTCAGTAAACGGCCACTGTTATGATTATGTCACTGCATAGGGAACGGTGTCAACGCCCACTCTCTATTGCACAAGAGTAAGCGTTGTGAAAACATCCATATAAAACAGTCATTTTATGATGACGCATTATTTAGGCTAAAAATGGTCGCGCCTATGTTAAACACTAAGGTGGATGCGGTATCCAGTGTAGACAGCGTCAGTGATTATAATGGGTTTTATTTTACTTTTTACTTTGACAAGTGTTAAGCCCTGTCCCAAATGGCACACTCCAGACTTGTGGACTTCCTCAGAGTCCACACTTCGGTGACGTCATGTAGTGCAGACCTATAGGGCCCTTAGCGCGAGTCCGCGAGGGCGCATTGAGAGGTATTTTTGGGACAGACTCGATCGTCACGCCGGAAACAGGAAGACGGTCTGATTGTTGTTATGGACAGGAGCTACAGGTTCGGGGAAATATGCTGCCTATTGTTGTTGTGTTTACATTTAACTCAGTAAAGCCCTGACATTCGGTTCTATTTATTTAATGAATCATAATGCGATTGTATTATTCAGCTCGCTATTATTAGCCTGTTTGAGACATCAACCACTGGTCGATGTTCATAATGTTTGTATAAACTTGTCATAAAAACCGTAATGATAATTACACTTAAATATTTTCTTCTCAGCCATGTTAACAGTTGTCCGTGAGCGAAATCTCCTCCCATCCGTTGTCTGATTGGCCTTTCGCAAGGATTCCTGGGTAGTTAAAGTGCGTGGAGCCTGCGTCTATGCGGGCTTCGCGGAAGACCGCTTCAAGGGTACAAAGGGGGCGCTGCTGAGCACACTTCAGAGCGTTAAAATGCTAAATGGGACGGCCTACGGACTCGTAGACTCGGAGATCACGTGCAATTTAAGTCCACGAGATCAAAAGTCCGCATGAAGTGCGCCATTTGGGACAGGGCCTTAACCGACTGAACACCAGTGGGCGGGGTTAATTGTGTGATGTGTACAATGATTCGTCGATGCCTTGCTCTAGAGGCAGTCATATGCAAATCTATTTTCCTGTGACGTCACAGATCCCACAATACCCAAACGAACCATTTTTTGAAGCTTGATTCCATAAAAGCTTTTTTTCTACACGAGGAGGACGTTATGCTATGAAACTGTTTTAATGCAAAAGCTCAATTTGATTTCTCATGTCATGACCCCTTTAATGAATGAAACTTGCCTGTTCCAGTAGCATTAGTGGTTGCCTTGAGCATCTGAGAGGACATGAAGTTGACTTGTGTATTGTATGTGGCCTGCACACTGCGTTTGATCCGCAGCATCTCACGGATGGTGTCCTCGTTACCGTGGCGAATCTCAAACTCCTTCCAGCTTTGCCAAAAATGAGCGGTCAACTGTTCAAGAAATGGTACGGGAGGGCGTTCAAAATCCAGCATCACACACAATATGACCAAAGCAATGTGGAACGGTGAGGTAAGATTTACCCTGGGATCACAGATCTGAGAGCAGTAAGAGTAGATGGCTCTCGCTCTGTCAATCTCTCCAAGTTTGCTCTCCATGTCAGCGAAGCGCAGGCACATGTCTCTGGCGTGTTCATCTGGCAGGACCTGCACCAGACCAAGTTAACTCATTACAGCACAAAACATGTTATAAATCCTGATATACTTTTAAAGCGATACCAGCTGAGTGCTTTACCTCAATGGCTTTCTGATAGATGGCTCTTGTGTGAGTGACTCCATAAATCTCTGCTGCCCGTTTGATGTAGATGTTGAACATCTGATGACGTTCCTGTGGCTCTACAGCCGAAGTGGCTCTCTCATATACAGCCATGGCATGTCGCGCCAAACCGTACTCCTCTTCCAGCTTAGCGTACAGCAGGTAGATCGCTGTTAAACAGCACAAATTGAATCAGGACCTGGGTTTTTATATCTAACAGAGTTGGCTATGCATTTCCAAAGGTCAGAGCTGATCAAATGGATTCTAGATTTAATGAACGAATGCAGTTAATCATATCATTTTGTGTTTTCTGTATTATTACTTTTGGCGTATTTAGGAGGACACCTATCCAGCGCCTGCTCAAACAGATCTCGTGCTCTCTCCAGCTTCTTGCCTCCATATCGGTCGATGAATTTAGTGAGGTACGTGTTCCAGATGTCATGGACATTAGGCCACCTAAAGAGGGCAATGCCACGCTCATATGCCTACAATCATATGATTTGATGAATAAACAAACATGTTTGTTAAAGCGAAAATATATAAATTCCCAAAAGAATGAAACGATAATGAGTCATGTCCATGTGACCGACTGATTAAATTCCATTACCTTGAAGCTATCTTCAAAGTAGTTGTGTTCTTCAAGAAACATGGCATAGTTAATGATGATCTGAGGTGTGGCGATGCGGAGGTCAATGATGCGATCATACACCGCCTTTGTGGACTGACAAAAGCAACGGTTCCATTAACACACAACATTGCAAGAGTCTTACTGCTAAATCTAGCTTGTTAAATACAGTAGCATACCTGGAATGTGCCAAGACTCTCCTCCAAATCTGCAAGCATGGACCAAACTTTCAGGGATTTATATACTCGATTCTGCACCGGTTCTGATGCGTCAAAATACTCTGCTTTTCTTGAGGGAATCGCTGTTGCTTTCTGAGAAGAAAAAGATTTGTCAACATGTGAAAAAAGTTTGATGACATGAAAATTCTCACTGATCTCCGACTTAACCACTTATTGCAAAGAAACTGGGCTGGACTTCAAATATTATAATATAAAATAATTAATAATAGCAAAGCTGAAAGCCGTTAAAAATAAAAGAAAGCCGATATGTACAGTAGTGGCCAAAAGTGATGTTCTCAATGACCCTACAAGTTCAATTAAATTATCAAAATATGAGGAAAATGTGTTATATTTTTTAAAGTAACAACAGGTAGTTTTTTGCTCTCGGGCTCCCCCTACAGTTGGTAAACAGTATTGTCCTCTACTACTGTCGTAAACTCTGTCATCCTACATGCACGTGCAATTGTTGACAACCAGGATAGCCCTGAACACTGTAGGAGGAGGTCACATGCAGGTGTTCTGCTTGCGTCGCGTGTGAAATGTCTTCATCCCAGGTACAGTGGCATATATTTCAGCATGTCATATGAATATAATTTCATGGGTTTTATTTTTTTTATAACGACAAATGATCGCGATGCTCACGTTTACAAGCCAGCGTCATTATAGTAGCCTAGTCTATTGGTTACCGTTTTACTGGATCTATATGATACTTCAATGCAATGTTTGAGTGGTTGATAATAACCATATATCGTCAATATTATAATATCAAGCTACCATAAATGAATCTGCAAATTTTACAAATCGATTTGCATTATAGCTTGAGGCAAGACAAATAAACAAATATCACAGACATGTTAGGTATCCTAAAATATGATTTTATTAATAATCTTCCTCCTTTCTTTGTACATGTTGAGTAGACTACACTTTTTAGGTCAAACATTTGCTATTGGCATTTCATCGATTGCAAAGTTCAAATCAGAACGAGAATACTATCGCGATAGCTAACCATCAAAAACTAGAATATCGTTTACTAGCTACCAGATTGATAATTCGCTACTACTCTAGCGAATTAGAGAGGTTAGAGAGAGGCATTCTTTTTTCGATGGAGGGTTCGATGCTCCCTGCACACGCAAGGTCTCTCGCTCGCTTTCTCTCTCTGCCGTCCGCGCGCGTTGGAGCACAGTCTCTGTCTCGCGTGCGCGCTCGCTCTAGATTTCGGGAGATTTGAACTAATTTGCGGTATAACTTGTCGATCACGAGTGGCTCAACAGGTAGATCTATAGATAAACTCATCTTTCAGGGATTTGACCGACCGGGTTGACAATTTAGCGTGAGAAACCGGGGGTGTGGCGTACGTGTGAGCATGTGAAACCAATCAAATGCGGGTGTCTCACGGCCAATGCGTGAGAGTTGGCAGCTCTGCAATGTTGATCCTCGTTCTGCCTTTAACGCGATCACTTTCTCTTTTTGCTTTGCTCCGATAAAACCTTTGCTTTCTTGTTTTTCTGTGCTGCTTCGGCCATGACTATAACATTTGGCTCGCAAGTCCGATTTTAAGGAAGTGGGGGGTGGTGGTGGAAGTGACGTATATGCCGTAAAGCAGTCGAATTTAAAGTACGATTAAAAACGCTACAGACCCCGTCAGGCTATGGCAGACGTGTCATTCAACCTATTGTAAGTCGATGTACCATCACAAGAGACTTGGAAATATATTATGAAGGTTGAAAAGTTACCTGTTGTTACTTTAAATGGTTTAAATATGAGGGAAGCACATAACACTAAACTTGGTTAAGGTATTCATCTGACAAAATTAGCAAACCTACAGATACAGGTTGTATTTTTATTTAATAAATCTTGACAGATTGGACAAGTTGAAAGTGCCTGATTGAGGTTGTACAGCGAATGAGAATGTAAAAATAAGAGCAAATACTTCAAATTCAGAATACAGGTTTGTGACTAATTTCTGCAAATCCCAACATTCAAATTTTTTTGTGTTTTACAGGTTTTCACATTGGAGCTGTGAGTGTAAATTGGCATTAAAGTGTATGAATATTTATTATACAAGTTATGAAACCCTCGAGTTTTGCTACTCTTTTACCTTTATAGCCTGGCCAAAAATTATGTTGGCAGAATCGAACATGTCTCATTGCATTACTACAAATAAAACAAATGACTCCAAGCACAACAACGCAATATGCTTACAAAATCTTTAACAAATTTGTAATAATTTTTGAATAAAGGGTGATGTCAATTTTCCAAGCTGAAAAATGTTCTACTTTAATTTTTCCCCTCAACAACTCTTGCCTTTATTGAGGAACATAGCGTTTTTTGAAACTTCTGGAATCATGAAAATCGATTTTGGTTAATTATTTGAATCTATTGGCACTCCTAGTTTATGTTTAATAACAGGTTTTACAGCTGTATCATCATTACAGCAGAAGTACCAGAGGAAACATGGTTGGGAACCACTGCACTAAAGCACTATGTGTGACACTGTCTCTTACCCTTAGTATACGCAAAGCCTGGTCATAGTTCTCATGTCTCAGCTCCATCTCTCCATACTCGCACCACACTGCAGCAAGATCATCCACCTGTTTGTAGTTGACCTTCGTGGCCTTCTCGAAGATAGTCCGAGCCTTGAAGTTCAAGTCAAATAGTTAGCCATCAGTTTACAGTAATCTGCCAAGTAATTATCGATGGGAAGTTTCGTACGTCATCTAGCTGTTCGTTATCCTCATAGAATCTGGCGAAGGACACCCAGAGATTGTGAGGCTTTCCTGTGGCTTTCACAGGATCTACTGTTTGCACAGCCTCTGTGTATGTGTTGATGATCTACAGGACAAAGCAACATAGGATGTGTAAATCACACACGACAGTTATCGACTGATTTAAAGATGATGTAAATGATGTTTCCGACCTGTCGAGGTTGGCCGTCGTAGAGTTTGACTCTCTTGTGCCACTCGTGAACGTTGTGAGGGTTCTGACGGAGCAGCACACTGTTTAATAAGAGCGGCCGTCGAGTTATCAGCAACTCAAAACGGGCCAATCGCAACTCCAAGTCAATGTCCTCTACAGTGGGGAAATCAGCTTTTCTGTAAGACCAACATCAAGGCTTATTTGCTGTAAAGCTCTGTAAGAAAAATCTCTCACCATCTTCGTCTTGTCCCAGTTCAGATGTGGTCTCCATCTTGGCAGCGATCATACTCTCTTCAAACTGCGCATAGCTGTCGAAAACCTGGGTGAAGTCTCGCACAGTGACTACGGTTAGGATGGCTTCCTCATATACATCTCGAGCCTTGAAAAAAAAACAAGATAGTTAATTGTGTCGACCTGTGAGTGAACAGAGTTAGTATATTCGGGAGTCTAAGAGTATGTTTACAAGACAACGATGTACTAAGACAGGAACATTTTTCCTTTGCGTGTTTCGCCTACAGACAACAAGGTGATCAAAACGATCCCTGTTCACACAGATCATGTCAAACGTGTAAATGAACGGCCAAAATGCATAAAAAGTTGAGTTTTTAATTGGAAACTCTCAGTTGGATTTCACAGTTTTACCTTCTCAAAGTGTCCGCTGCGGATGTAGTAATCCGCCAGAGAACACCAGAGTCTGCCAAGCTGGTCGGTAAAGCGGGTGAGACCTCCTCGGATAATCGCTCCCACGTTTAGTGAGGTCACCTTGTCCGGGTTTTGTGAGATGAGGTCACAGAGCTCGTGCCAAAGCTGTAATTGAATTTTCAGGTTTTTATTTCTCATGTAAAAATATGGAGAATTTGCATGGTGCATAATTCACAAACCTGAACTTTAAAAGGATCGTAACATGGACATAAAGATAGATGCAAATGCTTTGATGCATCACAATGCATTGATCTGAGAATGAAGATTGAATGAATCGATTAGGGACTTTAATAATTAAAATTCCTATAATAATGACCAGTGTATTAAATGTACATTTTTTACCTATTTTAAGCCACCAAATTCAGATCCGCAAGCTACATTTGTGTCTTCAGCATTTTTGTCTCCCAGCATGAATTATGCCAAATAAACTAATCAAATGGGGACCAATTTCAGATTTCATCATACATCATTTAGTAAGGAACCATTATTAAAATTAATCATTGTCAAATACATTAATGTTCAAAAGTTTGGGGTTAGATATATAGTTTTATTTAATGCCATGTCAGAATCTAAGGCTATTTTCATGGCAAAAATTAAATTACAAAAATACAAATATCATATAAATATAATAAAACTAAGCAAACAAACACAAGTCATATAAAAAAATAAATTAACATATGATAAAAAATTAAAAAACCTTTTCAGGCATAATCTAACTAAATAAGTCCTTAAGTGAAATAACTTCATAAAAGAGCATTCTACTTGTATTAAACCCAGGACAGTCCAATAAAATATGGTTTGGGGTTAATAATATGTTTTTTAATTAATAGCTTTATTCAGCAAGGATGCATTAAATTGATCAAAAGCGACAATAAAGACATTAATAATTTTACAAAATATTTCCATTTCAAATAAATGTTGTTCTTTTGAATCATTGATAATAATAACAAATGTTTCTGCATCGAATCAGATCATATTAGAATGATTTCTGAAGGATCATGTGACACTGAAGACTGCAGTAATGATGCTGAAAATTCAGCTTTAATACATTTATGTTCAATTTGTTTTATATTCAAATAGAGAACAGTTATTTGAATTTTTGACCAACCCCAAACATTTGACCAACAGTAGTATATTTACACTGCACGTGTGTTTAGGTGGACAAACTCAAAATGTAAAACATGTAATTTGCTGACCTGATAATTGGACTTTCCCTCTTTAGAAACAAAGTTTTCATCATTGACCACAGCGGCCAGTCGGAGCGCAGCTTCATCCAGACGTCCAACTGAACGCAGGTAATCAATGTATTCCTCTGCATTCTCAGGAGACAACTACACACAGGACAGAGGAAAAGCAAGTCTGTAGAGATCTCTATAAACAAGGCAACACAGCAAGCAGAAAGAAATCGTACAGCACCTCGAAGCACAAAACTTGAAATGTCAACTTATACAAGCGTGTATTTGGTATTCAGCATAATGTCCGTCCCTTACCTTTAGGTAACGACGGAAAACACGAATAGCTGTTTCTGGGAGAGGCAAGTTACGGCCATAGCGAAGATACAAGGGCCAGATGCGAGGATGCTGGGTAACGGGCAGCGCTCGTAACGCCCGATCGAACGTCCGTCTGCTCCGTGTAATTTTGCATTGAGACACCATGAACTGACAGTAGTCGATCCATATCCTCGGCATCTGAGGAGACAGAGAACAAAAGAAAATGAATGTGCAACCATCAAATCACATGAGTCACTTTGACACACGGTGCTGCCGCCAAATAAACATGAAAATGCATGAAATGTCGACTTTACCTTGTGCATAAACACAAGTGCTCTTTCATGACAGTTGTTCACCTCCTCATATGTTGGATCTGTGACACACTTGCCTTTCACCTGTTTCCTCCTCTCTCTCAGGTAGTTGTACCACAACTTGTAACTGACAGAAAAAAACATAAGCAAAGAAACAAACATCATTTATGTGCATCAAGCACACGGGTTCAATGTGAGAGAGAACAAGATGACATGTACGGACCTGCCAGGCAGCTCTTTTAAAGCTCTTTCATAGATCATATTGAGCACTGATTTCTGAGCATTTTGCTTGTGCTCAATATATCGCATCCAACACTTTACTGAATATGGATTCCTGATGATTTCTTCTTCATAAGGCAAATCATCATCTTCCTGCAAAATACACATGAACATGAGTTTTATGAAAACACAGATGCTCAAGCAAGCCCAAAAAGATAAAGTCAAGTTTGAGTAATGGTTACAAGTTATATAAGGGAGCAAGACATATTTCGATCATAATTGTTCTAATCTAAACAATACCAAACATATTATGCTAACTACTGTTCCTGTCATTAAATATGACGTTAAATATGACAACAACACTCCAGTTGATGTTTGACAGGTAACAAATCACAGATGTTTCTAATAACAATCTTCAAACATTATTTTGGCATAAAGTTATTATCTTATACTCTCGTAGTTAGCAAGCTAATCACAGCTAGCTGAGAACAGGCTCGGTTAAATGTCACGAAACTGATTTAAGACACTCAAATACTTACGAATATAACGTCTGCCTTTCCGTTAAAAGTCGGCATTTTCGTCAGCAAGAGAAAATCCGTCTAATAGTGCTAAAAACTCAGTGAAATTCTTGACAAAACAAACACTTTCCCAACGTGCTGAGATCGTTGAATACAAACGCCCCGCCCTTTCCGAGTGAAGTCGCTTCCTATTGGCTGAGGTGGACAGGCAGGTTGTGTCAGGGCTTGTCCTCTAGGGGGAGCCTTAGTGCGTTTTTGAATGGAAGTCAATGGAAGAGAGGCTTCAGCACTCTGAATATATCCTGTGTGCTAATCTTCAACGTCTTTGCCATTATTCTGCAGTGCGCTAAATTTTGAGTTTACATATATATATATATTTATTACAGTTGATAATTAACTGTGGTAAACCACTCATCTATAATAGATAGGCTTTAATATCATCAGTAGTAGTTACCCTAACCGAGTCGATGAGGATTTTCACCCTTGAGAAAAAAGTGTCCTGTGCAATTCAAATCTTTACTTGTAGATTTATAATATTAGAGAAATAAAGGCCACTTAAGTCAATTATGATGTGCTGAGTAATATGCTAAAGCACATGTACAGCACTTGATTATAATTTTAACTGGTGTGTGTTTGTTTGACATAAAATGTGACAATGTATATCAAATATGTGACAAGTTTCAATTGAAATGCCATTTAAAATATATTTTAGTTGATCATAGTTGTCTGTACATTTGGCAATGCTCTTCAACCATACTTCATAAGACCATAGAAGTAATTATGAAATTACATATACGATGTACTTAAGTCCTACCTAAGTAGTCTATGTCAAAAAACACTTCCCTTAAGTTCAGCTGATTGCATTTAACATCAATTTAAACTATAATACATGTTTATTTCATTAAAGTTAACATATAATTAAGTGTACAGACAAGCATTTAAGTGTATTATTTGAAACATAATTTCCGTAATAAGTATACTAAAGTACAAATGCTGGTAGTAACGGTATGTCATTTGAAAAACAGGTATAAAGCATCACACGAATATATATATTTATTTATGTCAAACACAACAGAAGCAGCTCAAGCATATTTTATCATCCATCACAGCAGATTTAACTGAACACTGCACATTTACACCTTCACTTAATACAGACACAAATTCCAGTCAATCAAATTTACTCAACCAACATAACTCTGGCCTTCATCCAGGTGATGTGAAACACATACATTGAACAAGCGTCTTATTTTCTCTTTTCTTTGTTTCCCTCTTTTTTCTCTTTCCTTCCACGACTCTTCCCCTTCCCCTTCCTCGCCTCTTTGTTGGGCTCTGCTCTGTTGGGTCCATTATTCTGCTGCAGCTGAGCGCTGTGGACTCTCTGGATGAGAGAGAAGTAGTCCTCATGTGGGCTGATTGGACTAGCCGTGTCCCCCGGGTGTGGAGACGAGGGTCCCGACGAGTGTGTCTGTCTGGCAGGAGACCGGCGAGGGGATGGAGACCTGGAGCGATGGTTTCTGGGTGGGTTCACATTGAGAGAGATTGGTCCGCCGGGCCTAGGGCTGAGAGGAAGCACTATAGTCTCCCCTGGCTGTCCGATCGTGAGGAAAACTTCAGGGAATGAACACGGCTGATTGTTTTCTCCATGCGTCTGAAGGAGACACAAAAATAGATTTTAGGGGTTCTCAACTCTGGACTTCCAGGCCTAATCAAACACAACTTTAAAATGCTAATCGGGGTGTTTTCAGGTTTACTAGTAAGTTATAGGCAGGCGAGTTTGATCAGGGTTGGAGCCAAACTCTGCAGAAAAGTGGACCTCGAGGGCCAGAGTTGAGAACCCCTGCATTTAGACATTAATGTTCGGTCATGAATAAGTAACCGTCTGGAACATGGAAAACAATATTTAAGTCCTAAGTTTACTTTGAGCTGCAAGATCAGCTCATGTCTAGCACTTCCTTGAAGGTAAGGGACTAAGTTTTCCTTATGTGTACTTGTAGTCGCCCTGTAGTCAATAATTTTATCCCTTAAAACTAATCTTTGATAACCAAAATTACATATTGAAAAGTTTTTTCCTTTAAAAAGAAAAAATCTTCATGCCTTAAATAGCTTGAATGTATCTCTACACCCTTGCCTCATGTAGTATACGCGGTTCTATGATTATGCAAATGAGCCCCGCCTCCACTCACTCACTCCAGCTCAGAGATCCACTCGTTGACGATCACACGTTTTATGGTTTTAAGTTTATAACTACATTAAATACTGACAGAATTTTCATTTTACATATCGTAAGTATTATTAGGTATTAAAGTTGTGATGAAACAGAGACAGATTTGTCTTCCATGTTGCGACATACATCCGAGTGAAACTTATTTAGGGTTATGGAAAAATAATAAGATGTAAGGCGGGACTCGGTTCTATTGTTGATTGGATTTTGAGATGTGGGCGTTAAAAGAGGCATACATCGCCAGAGAGAAGTCTGTCGATTTCACCAAAAGATTGAGTTATGACTTAAGCATTATGAGGTAAAAAAAAAGTTACAAACTAAACTTACATCGATGAATCGTTCACAATGAGATCAATTACTGCATTTAGAATATAGATAGCGTAAATTTTCATTTCATGCTGACTTTGTGTAATTTGCAGACATTCATTTGTTTCACACTTTTAATGAGAACTTTTCACTTAATATTCTTTCATTCTGAAAAACACGTTTCGTGGTCATTTACTGCCCCTACCTGATGTGGAGGGAAGCGCATGGAAATTTGAAATGATATCTGTAAAACACGAATGTGCCATTAATATCAACCATTCAGCTCAAAAATAGATGCAGTAACGTTACATGCAGAAAAAAAAAGTGCCTCACCTGCGCAGACGTGTCATCATACGGTAATCTCTCCCTATCTGACGCTGGGCAAAATGAGGGCGGTCTGGGGGGAGGCCTGCCAGGTGTGTCCGAGTCACAGACGGTCAGAGAGGGAGAGGACGGACTGGGACAAGCTTTTTTTGGTGCAGCAGGTGACGCGGGGGTCAGCATGATTTGGGGGGCTGCTTTATTTCTCTCTCTCTTTGTCTCTATTCCGGAGGGCTGGAGGCCTGGCAATGCGCCAAGTGTCACACGTTGATCATCCAGTCGTCCTCTTTGAAAGTTGGCCAGTAGATTGAAAAGGTCCTCAGGATCTTCCTCTGTATGCAACAAGCCAGTAGAACAGTGTGAAAGGTCTGAATTACAGTAATTCGGTCATTAATAATCATTACCAGTTACCTGTGGGATTAGCGTTCGGGCTATTTGGAGAGGGGGAAGGTTTTTTAAAGGGATCAAATGAGCACCGCTGGTCATCCATTCGCCGATGCTGTGAATTATGCACCAGGGAAAAAAACTGGTCCTGATCGATACAATTTTGTACCTGATTCAGAGAAAAGGAAACACTACATGAATCAATATGAATTTATGATTTTGCAGGGGCATTCTACCTTTAGCAGACATATTTTACTATCCTAAGAAAAACAGTCTATAGTAACTGACAGCATACCACAGACTTATTTTGAACGCACAACATATTATATTATATAATTATAGAACAATACCAGTGACAAAGATGGTATGATGCTCTAAAAACATCGCAACAGAATCAACAAATCAGCACAGAATCATATATGCTGTACACAATTTATATATATATATATATATATATATATATATATATATATATATATATATATATATATATATATATATATATATAAGGGTACCTTTACACCATCAATGTACAAAAAAATAAGTTTTTTGTGTATAGACGTACAGACATTGTCAAAACGATTCCCCATTTACACGGATCCACAAAAACGACTAAAAACGCTGTATTATTCATGCCAGGCCAGTAGTTGGCGATGTCACTTTGTAAAGAAACACTATGTGCCAATAGACTGAACACGTGATACGCATGCACATGACGTCACCGTTAGGGCTGCACGATTAATCGCAATTTACATGTAATCGCACTTAAACCAATTTGGCTCATCGTGATTTTGAAATCGCAATGGCTTATGTGCAGCTTGTCATTGATGTGCGGCTCTTAAACGTTGCTTCGTCTGAAAGCACTGCGAGTTTGAGTCACTTATAACGTGCATTTGAAAAAGCAACACGCGTCAAATATCTTTCCTAATATGAGAAGCATTTATGAACCTCTTTGTCTAACAAAAGACAACATTTAATAACATGATTTTGCTCAAAACTCACTTCATAACGACAGTTGAGCATCCTTCTGGGAGATGATGTGGCTTCTTACACAGAATAAGGCAGTCGTGTGTTTATTAGTCATGTTTAATCAATCAAAGCGTTTCAATCTTCTGTTTATTCAACTACTACAGATAGTATGATGCCCATATTAGGGATTTCCTGGAATGATGTTCCTATCTTCTGCCGCGGGGCATATTTGGCGTGTCTGCGTGAGAGCGGCCTCTGGTGTTCAGATGAAGCAACGCATAAAATAATCGTAGCCTTTGCGAATAAAGCCCCGTACACACCGGGACGAATATCGGCGCGCGTTATTCGTCAGCGTTTTTCAACGCGTTTTTTGTGTTCACACCCAAGCGATTTTCGCTGACGTTGAGCCGAGTGAACATGCAAATTCATTCCCTGACATTAGATGGCGCTTAATGTAAAACAGAAATAGTCCTATTTTGTAGTCGCTGTCGCGTTTGTCATATAGTTCTTTATGTTCCGACACCAACGAGACCAGCAGCTCTACATTCATCTTGCCTTGCATCTTCCTCGTCTTATTTCTTCCTGGCAGTGTAGACCATAGATATCCATAATAAAGGCCATTGGCCAGCAGCGCGGACGAGACATCTAGCCTTTATTATGGATATCTATGGTAGACGCTACTTGGCGCATCTTCTTCGCCGTTACGTTTGTGTGCTCGGCACGACCGTTTTGTGTTTGAGCGCCCCCAAGTTGTGTTTTACTGTAACTTCAGAAGCTCCAGACACGTGAGCAAAAGCGCCAATCTCATTGGTCGGATAATTTTTGACGCGGCGCGTCAAACCAAAAAAACAAACCCGAGGCGTTTTTTAAAAAATGATGCTTTTACGCGTGGCGTTTTTCGCGTCGGTGTGCACACTCACATAGGCGCCCTTTGTTTAGTCACGAGGCGTTAAACGTCGGCGAATAACGCGCGCGAAATTCGTCCCGGTGTGAACAGGCCTTAATTGTGCAGCCCGTTTTCACAAATTCACATTTTTGTAGTTTACACAGAGACATTAACAGTATAGTTTTCAAAAAGTTTGCATTTTCAGGCACCCAAAACGCCATTGTCGTCGTGTAAATGAACGGCCAAAATGCTAAATCCAAAAAAGTTTTTAGTTGGAAAACTGAAAGGTTTGCCTAAGGTTTGCTACACTTTTGCAATGTTCACACAAAAGGGGCCGTTTACACAACACTGTTTTCAACTAAAAACTGAAAACTTTTCATGCATTTTGGTCGTTCATTTACATGACGGCGGTGTTTTGGGGGCCTGAAAATGCAAACTTCTGAAAGCGGGTTTCAAAGAGCAAGTTTTTGAAAACGATAAGTCATCGTCTCTGTATAAACTACAAAAGCGCGAATTTGTGAAAACGGTTACATCATGCTTATTACATGTTCAGTCTATTGGCATATAGTGTTTCTTTACAAAGTGACATCGCCAACTACTGGCCTGGCATGACTAATACAGCGTTTTAGTCGTTTTAATGGATCCGTGTGAACGGGGATCGTTTTGACGAAGTTGTTGTCTGTTCGCGAAACTTTTCAAAAACCAAAAGGAAAAACGTTACTGTTTTTAGTACATCATTGGCGTTTAAACGTACCCTAAATATTGTACGAACTAATCTGAGAGCTACAAGTCATTACAAAAGCAAGTAAACAACAACAAAATATATCCACTTTATAACATTTGAAATATATACAGTAAAAACTATGTAGCATCTTTGTCACTTCACTTTCAGTGGTATTATTAAATATATACACTCACCAAAAGGATTAATAGGAACACCTGTTCAATTTCTCATTAATGCAATTATCTAATCAACCAATCACATGGCAGTTGCTTCAATGCATTTAGGGGTGTGGTCCTGGTCAAGACAATCTCCTGAACTCCAAACTGAATGTCAGAATGGGAAAAAAAGGTGATTTAAGCCATTTTGAGCGTGGCATGGTTGTTGGTGCCAGACGGGCCGGTCTGAGTATTTCACAATCTGCTCAGTTACTGGGATTTTCACACACAACCATTTCTAGGGTTTACAAAGAATGGTGTGAAAAGGGAAAAACATCCAGTATGCAGCAGTCCTGTGGGCGAAAATGCCTTGTTGATGCTAGAGGTCAGAGGAGAATGGGCCGACTGATTCAAGCTGATAGAAGAGCAACTTTGACTGAAATAACCACTCGTTACAACCGAGGTATGCAGCAAAGCATTTGTACAGCCACAACACACACAACCTTGAGGCGGATGGGCTACAACAGCAGAAGACGCCACCGGGTACCACTCATCTCCACTACAAAGTAGGAAAAAGAGGCTACAATTTGCAAGAGCTCACCAAAATTGGACAGTTGAAGACTGGAAAAATGTTGCCTGGTCTGATGAGTCTCGATTTCTGTTGAGACATTCAGATGGTAGAGTCAGAATTTGGCGTAAACAGAATGAGAACATGGAACCATCATGCCTTGTTACCACTGTGCAGGCTGGTGGTGGTGGTGTAATGGTGTGGGGGATGTTTTCTTGGCACACTTTAGGCCCCTTAGTGCCAATTGCGCATCGTTTAAATGCCACAGCCTACCTGAGCATTGTTTCTGACCATGTCCATCCCTTTATGGCCACCATGTACCATCCTCTGATGGCTACTTCTAGCAGGATAATGCACCATGTCACAAAGCTCGAATCATTTCAAATTGGTTTCTTGAACATGACAATGAGTTCACTGTACTAAAATGGCCCCCACAGTCACTAGATCTCAACCCAATAGAGCATCTTTGGGATGTGGTGGAACGGGAGCTAGGGGTGGGCGCTATACCGGTGTGAACGTGAATACCGGTATTATGTTGTGCCATGATATGGATTTTGCGATACCGAGGATACCGTATTCATAAATTCAAATTTTGCAGTTATATTGTTTTGTTCAATTTGGTAGCCAACTCTTTACAACTGTTAACACTGACGATACAGAATCGAATACGCTGTTTAAGGAAATGGCTGATTTGGCGCTTCATGCGTGAAGTTGCTGAGGCGATTAACCGCTGTCCTGTGACGCGTTCAATGAAGGACCGTAACGTAGAACGCATCGCTAGTGCTAAGCGGCTGTTCATAAAGGATGCATCTTTTGCGGTGGAATGGGAAATAACAAGGTAATGAGACGCAAGTTTGACTTTTAACTGGAGCGCAGCATTTTTAGAATGCCGTTTCATTTGCGAGACGCGGGTGCAACACCAAAACAAGTTCGTCAAGCACAAAAAAACGTTAAAGTTTTTTTGTGGCTTCTGTATGTTTGAGATGTCATGTTTTCATGAAGGTTGAAAGCTGCTATTATTATCTTTGTTTTTACAAAACATTTACTGCTAATAATATTATCCACGTGGAGACATTTCCCCGCAATGTAACATTAGGCTATGAATAACAGGACACGACACACACATAAGCGCGCGCATACACACACACTGGTCCACTATCTTTGTGGGGACTCTCCATAGACGTAATGGGTTTTATACTGTACAAACTGTAGGCCTTTATTCTGTCTCCTTACACTAATGAATTAGTTTGTATGAAAATTTTCATTGTTTTTTTCTTGTATACTTTTAAGTTCTATTTATTTGGTGCTTTGTTCAATCTCAAACCATTATTTTATTTTTATTATTAAGATGTCTGCATAAGAGTTAACTGTAATCTGTGCAAACATTAAACTTAAATTAAACGTCTCGCTTTGGTCTACACTGGAAGTGTTCTGCTCGCTCTGCTAAAGCTAAACTATAATTACTAAAACTGAAACCAAATAAAATAAAAACTATATAGAAATGTGTTTGCAAAATAAAACTAAATAAAAACTAACAAAACTATTAATGAAACTAGCTAAAACTAAACTGAAATTTAAAGCAAAATTGAAAACGATATTAAAATAAAAACTAATTTAAAAAAGCAAAACTATAACAACAGATATTCCCGGCGGAGACAGAGCACACCCGAAGACGGCTCTCACTCAGAAATCAATGAAGTCTTCATTCGCTGCCGGTTCTCATTATGACAAGACGAGCAAAAAGTGGAAAGACATAACAAGTGCATTCAGGCCTACCTCATGTTGCACGTTTGCACTTTTTCAGGAAAAAAATGGCACAAAAAAAAAACAAAAAATTCAGGTCTATGTCCAATGAAATGCCTCACCTGTTTCTAGTTATCTACTGTTAAAATACATATTTTGCCTGTGATTTAACTAAGGTGTACTAAAATGTGATTCCAATTTTTTTTCTCATATCGCGATATAATATCGATATCGTCCGGACAGTGAAAAATATCGTGATATGAATTTTTGCTCATATCGCCCACCCCTAACGGGAGCTTCGTGCCCTGGATGTGCATCCCACAAATCTCCATCAACTGCAAGATGCTATCCTATCAATATGGGCCAATATTTCTAAAGAATGCTTTCAGCACCTTGTTGAATCAATGCCACGTAGAATTAAGGCAGTTCTGAAGGCGAAAGGGGGTCAAACACAGTATTAGTATAGTGTTCCTATAATCCATTAGGTGAGTGTATATATATATATATCACCTCAGAGGAAGGACTGAATGATCCTGATCTCCTGGGTGATTCAGATGGAGGGTTAGTCGGGGATACAGGTTGAGAATAAGACTTCTTTGGGGGGGCAGGAGACCCCAGCTGGAGTTTGGGAGCAGAGCAGCACTGATCATCCATCCGAGAGCCCTGCCAAAGACAAAATAATACAAGCGTGCCTTCTTATCACAGAGTGCTTTTAAATTAATGATATTCTGTCCAGGTTTCTATTTCTGTGCATGTACCAGTTATGGAAACAGGAGAGCGCTAGTAAATGTTGATTGAGATCTTAAAATAAGCCCTTTTTTGCTGGCCTATATTTGTGCTCTTGCCCTTATTAGAGCTGCGCATAGTCTCACAAATGTATCTGAAAGGGGTCGTTTCATCACATTTTGGAGAAAGGAGAAAGGAGTCTCTTATGCTCACCAAGGCTGCATTTATTTGATAAAAAAAATACAGAAACAACAGTAATATTATTACAATTTAAAATAACTTTTCTATTTGAAAATATTTGAAATGTGAAATATTCAGCATCATTACTCCAGTCTTCAGTGTCACATGATCCTTCAGAAATTATTCTGATATACTGATTTGATGCTCAAGAAACATTTCTGATTATCATTGTTATGCTGCTTTATATTTTAGTGAAAACCATAATCTTTTTTTTTTCAGGATTCTTTGATGCATAGACACTAGACAGTTCAAAAGAACAACATTTATTTGAAATAGAAATCTTTTGTGACATTATAAATGTCTTTACTGACACTTTTAATCAACTAGTGCATGCTTGCTGAATAAAAGCATTCGTTTCTTTCAGACTTTGGAACCGTACTGTATAACCGCTTGAACTGAAGGAAGCATTACACACCTGTATTCTGGAGACCATGTTGAAGAGCTGATCTGATTCCTGAGCTGTCATCCCAGAAGGTGCTTGTTTTCCTGACAACGGCTTTAGCGTCACCCGCTGGTCATCGAACCGTCGATTTTGGGTGTTAGAAATGAGTTTAAAAAAATTCTCGACATCTTGATCTGTTTAGGTGGTGTATACAAACATGCACGTAGTAAAGAACCTTCTCTGGTTGGTTTGCTTTATAATGCATTTGTTGAATTATTCACTTTATTATTACAGACTAACCTGACTGGCTGGTATCCATATGTCTGGGTGAAGGCGATAAGGGGTTAATGGAGCAGCGCTGTTCATCCATACGTCCACGTTGTGCTTTACTAACTAGACACAACATCTGGTCCTGCTCACCCTGATGGATTAAGAACAAGAATAACAGGCTTTTGTACTTTGTAAGTAGGAAGTTTTGAGAGAAAGTGAGGCCACTGTAAATACAAGCATTCATACTCACTTGAAAACGTTCCATCCTGTCCTTGTCTGATATGGGGTTGAATGAGGCTGATCTGGTTGTGAGCGTGTTGTAAGTGTCTGAATCAGCAGGAGGCTGAGGACTGTAGCTCGCTCTTCTCACAGTGTTCGGGGCTTCAGGGGAAAGGGTGTTTTTGGGAGGGATCTGTTTCCTGAAACTCTACATTGCAGGTTAAGAAATATGAAGAAAAAAAAACGTTCTTTTCAATTCTTTCCTGTATATACAATCAAAAATAAATTGCAGGATTTACTTCGTTTTCACTTAATTTTACAATATGTTACAAATACTGGGTAATATAACTACATGGGTTAAGGTTAGGTTTATGTTCAGGTTTAAGTTCAGGGTTAGTACTTGTTGAAAGTAGTCTACTATAATAAGAACATCGTATGTATATGCAGAACAGGGCTGTAAAATAAAATGCTACTAAATTTCAAATATAAATTCAAAAAATTCAGAAATTGCTAGTAAATTTAAAAAAATAATTACAAAGAAATGGCAAGTAACATAGGGATTTAAAAGTGAAATTTTGAAATAGAAAGACTAAAACAGTATTTTCTTGTAAAACATGCTCCAAATAAACTTTGTTTTACTAATAAGATGTCCTCCGAAGTTCACTGGAAAACTCACATGAGCTCTGCTGACCATGTTGCAGAACTGGTCAAAGTTTGTCTTCAGTACATTTCCGTCTTTCGGATCTCTGATGGTGAATGCCTCCATCCCTGGCAGTGAACTGAGCGTCACTCGTTGGTCATCTAATCGTTGGCTCGGACTCTTGACCAGGAACTGTAAAAAGTCATCGCCATCTGCCGCAGTGTCGTCCAAAGAGACATGAACATGTAAATGGTACTTTTAAGTCAAGAAACCTGTGCAATTTTAAGTATTTTGGGCTATTTTTGCTTCCACAATAGTCTGCACTTCAGCAGCACTTTAAGCTTTAACTTCACACACCAAAACTTTAAGTTTTATTACTATCAATACAGAGCCCCTTTTTTTTGCTTTCCCCTGAGAAATTTTGCGTTCCCTCGCAAAACTTTTGCATTCCCCAGCAAAGATTTGCGTTCATTCGCAAACTTTTGCGCAAAACCTGTTGTGAGTTTGGACAAACACTTTCTGATTAATTTACCGCTGGCAGTGGTTCAGTACTATGGAGAACCTAAAGGGACATGGTGAAGGAAAAAAATATGAGACGGGATGAAAAATTCTTTGTCAATGCTTTTGCGTTCTCTCGTGAATGTTTTGCGTTTCGCTAAGAAACTTTCCGTTCGCTTGCAAACTTTTGCATTCGCTCCCAAAGATATTTGCATTTGTTCGCAAACTTTTTCATTCACTCATAAAGATATTTGCGTTCGTTCATAAACTTTTCCACTCACTTGCAAACGTTTGCATTCTCTCGCAAAGATATTTGCATTCGTTCGTAAACTTTTCGTTCACTCGCAAAGATATTTGCGTTCGTTCGCAAACTTTTCCATTCACTCACAAACTTTTGCATTCGCTCGCAAAGAAATTTGCGTTAGTTCATAAACTTTTCCGCTCTCTTGCAAACTTTTGCACTCTCTCGCAAAGATATTTGCATTAGTTCGTAAACTTTTGCATTCTCTCGCAAAGATATTTGCATTATTTCTTAAACTTTTGCATTCTCTCGCAAAGATATTTGCATTAGTTCGTAAACTTTTGCATTCTCTCGCAAAGAAATTTGCATTAGTTCGTAAACTTTTGCATTCTCTCGCAAAGATATTTGCATTAGTTCGTAAACTTTTGCATTCTCGCAAAGATATTTGCATTAGTTCCTAAACTTTTGCATTCTTGCAAAGATATTTGCATAATTTCTTAAACTTTGCATTCTCTCGCAAAGATATTTGCATTAGTTCATAAACTTTTGCATTCTCTCGCAAAGTTATTTGTGTTCGTTCGTAAACTTTTGCGCTCACTGCCAAACTTTTGCATTCTCTCGCAAAGATATTTGCTTTCATTTGTAAACTTTTTCGCTCACTCGCAAAGATATTTGCTTTCATTTGAAAACTTTTCCGTTCACACAAACTTTTGCATTCTCTCCCAAAAGATATTTGAGTTCGCGCGCAAAATTTTACATTCCCCCCCGAGAAACTTTGCATTCGCTCGCAAAACCTTTGCTTTCTCTCTGAAAGATATTTGCGTTTTCTTGCAAAATTTTGTGTTCTCTCTGAAATATATTTGCTTTTGTTCACAAATATTTTCGTTCACTCTCAAACTTTTGCGTTTCCCGGAGAAACCTGGGGAAACTTTTTTTTTTTGCGAACGAACGCAAAGTTTCTCGGGGGAACGCAAAAGTTTTGCAAGTGAAAGCAAAAGCACTGAAATCTTTTTTCCCCCCAATCCCATAATTTTTCCTCCACCATGTCACTTTAAGGGCTCTGTAAGAGGCTCCATAAAAAAGCGATATCACAATCCCCTCTGTAAAAACCAATGACTCTAATATGTCAACAAAAAGAAATTTGAACCTGGGTTTATCCAATGTTCATATTTCTGATATGGAAATGTATGTGAATTAGTTCATATTTATTGAAAAATGCCTCATTTGCATCTAGTGCTGTCAAATCGATTAATCGTGATTAATTGCATCTAACAAGAACGTTTTTGTTTATATATGTGTGTGTGTGTGTAAATATATATATATATATATATATATATATATATATATATGATACACACACATGATATAAACAAACTTTTATGTTAGAATTGATTAATCGCGAAGAATCGATTTGACAGCATTTTAGAAAACTTGAAATACAAAAGCATTGTCTTAATGTGCTGTGATTAATCAACTATGTAAATAGGGTGATGCCCATTTTTTTATTTTTTTTATTTATTACCATTACCAAAATGGCAAAGACATCTGACCTGGGCTGTTGGCATGAAGTTGTTGAGGTTTTGTTGGACCCAATGTGCAGCGCTGTTCATCTAATCTTCCACGCTGAGCGTTACTAACGAGGGAAAACAACTGATCCTGTTCCCCTGAAACTTGCTGCGAAGACCAAACATTTCAATCAATTTGAACATTCTTGACAGGTTGTAGTAAACATACTCTGTTCATAATGATTCAATTCATAGATCAATGAAGTAATAATCAAATATAGCAGAAAAGTTTAGGGTCAAAAGTTTAGAAATGGAAAAAAATGTATATGAAATACCTCCATTTTGTCCGCCACAGACGTCATATCCTACAATGTTCATCTGTATATTCTTCTTAATGAGATACAAATATCAATGCATACTTCTTTAGAACAAGTATTAAAATTTCAGTCATAGTGCAATCTAGTACTTGTGTACAAACTTGCGAGCAAGCTTCTCTCTCCAGACTAAAGCTCTACCAGGATGGATGGAGTGCTTTTAGAAGGTCTTAAGCTTTGAATATAAACCCGCACCCATTAGGAAACCTAGACGGGGGCAGTCTTTAATCCCAGATAAAAACAGTTAATCCTCTCTATCATGCAGCGATGATCTTTTATCATGGGAGACAATTATTGGAGCAGTGACATCAGTATCAGTATCAGAGACCTCCTGACATCAGTCTGTGTTTAGGTTGGTAACTCTATGGAAACGATTAATGGATTTCTAAAAACTCGCAGACAATAGGCTTAAACAAACATTGGATGATTCTGTTCAGGATCAAATTCAAGGAAATTCAACCAAGAGTGGAGCTACAGGAAGTTTAGCTGCAAATGTACAAAAAAGGAAGTGAAACTCTTAAAAAAAATGAATTATTATTATTATTTAACAAATGGTCAGTGAAATGAAGTACTTAACTGTCGATGAAAAATACAAATTGCAGTTTCAGGAAGTCAAACTATTAGCCGTGTGCATTATTTATTTATTTTTACCATGCTATCGAATTCTGGATTGTAGAAGAATATGACGCAGTAAAAGAAAGTTCAACACTCTTACTTCAGCAATAAAAAAAATAAAGAAACTCAAATGTGATGTAAATCTGAAGTCATTTTCGCTTATTGGTGTGGTTGAATCAGATCATCGAATGTCAGCATCAAAGACATTGGTTAATAAAGTGAGATTAAATACATAGACTATTTGTGTTACGTAACATATTTAACTATTGCGTGTTACTAGTGTAATATTCTGAGTTTGCATTTCACTGTTTTCATTCATTTTGAGCAATACTGAATCTGTTTTTGTGCGAGTGATATGAGTAAATGCTCACATTAGTCTAGATTCTAGATTGAAAAAGTAACTGCGATATTTTGTTGTAAATTTAGTAGGGCTGTCAAACGATTAATCGCATCCAAAATAAAAGTTTGTGTTTACAAAATATATGTGCGTGTACTGTGTATAATTATTTTTAATACATAAATACCCACACATGCATGTGTATTTAAGAAATATTTGCATGTATATACTGTATATTGACTGAATGCAGCCTATATATAATGTATGTTTTATATAAATATAAACATTTTATATATAAATAACATATTTTTCTTAAATATATACATGTGTCCATTTATATACAAAATAATTATAAACAGTACACACACATATATTATGTAAACACAAACTTTTATTTTGGATGCGATTAATCGTTTGACAGCCCTAAAATTTAGTAATGCATCACTTGTTAGTTGAAAAAAGTCATCTATTTGAGTTACTTGTAATGCGTTACCCCCAACACTGCTCAAGCATCTCTTTCTGGAATGAGTTATAAGCAACATTTATTTAGAATAGTTAACAAATAGACAACAGACACAAAGAGCCAGTGAACCACATCCACCGATATGTGATAACGTAACAGTAAAAGAAAAAAAGTGCACAAGTTCAGAGCATGAACAACAAAAAGACACCTATACTCAGATAAAACATTTCATGCCTTCACCAACACAAGGGCAGAAAATACAACAAAACCTGACTGGAAATCAGAAATGGACAACTGTACCATAAGCAGGCTTATCTTGCAAACTCATTTTTTCCCACATTGTGCAGCTTTATAGAAGCAGTGAGACAGTAAGACAGTAAGTAAAGGCAGGTGGTACAGCATTTCTCAGAACCCAGTGTGATCATTTGGTCCAAAGAAGTCATCAAATCACATCAGAACTTGATACGACTGATATTCAAAGGGTGTGAGGCAAGATTTAATCCATATATCTGCACATTTAAGCTATTTCACATATATCATCATCTCATATATATATATATTTTCTTTTAAATTAAGCATCAGTCATCAACAGCATGAATATATATACACATACATATACCACCAGTTCAGCTTGGGTAATTAAAATGACTACTTTAAAAGCAAACAATCAGTAAGCTAGATCTAAAGGTCTTTTCACTGGTCATTTGAGAGAATCCTAACTTCAGAGTATCAGGTTTCACAGGAGTTCAGTGGGATGAGTCTCTGCTAAACGGCTACAGGCTTGTCCAAATCCTTCAGGTCGTTCAGAAAGCTGGTTGGAGTGATAATGTGAGACGATCCTGCAGAAGAAAACCATATATGACATTTTAAACAACACTGAAGACAATTAATGCCATCTTCAACCCTGCTCTTGGAGACCCACTGTCCCAGAGAGTTTAGCTATCATCAAACACACTCGAAGCAGACTCTTCGTGACAATCACACTGGTGTGAAACTCAGGTTGGATCAAAACTTTGCAGGACAGTGGGTCTCCAGGAGGAGGGTTGAAGACGTCTGTCATATGCAGAAGTCGTCTCCTCTTACCAATCAGAACCTCCCACTTGCCCTCGGTGGCCCGGGTCACTTCATAAGCACAGCGCATCTCAGAATGGGTCACGCCGCCGATCACATAGATGATGAGGCGAGGGCCGCTGCGGTACTCTGTGGCAGACTTGTTCTTGTGCCAGTGTCCAAACCGTGCGCTGCTGGAGTAGGGTTCAAGAGTCACGTCAGACCACAGGACGATATTTGACGTCGAGGTGAAAGATGTCTGGGTCGAGTTTGTGGCAAAACCTTTCACAGTGCTTGCATTATGTTGTTTTGTCTCATACTCAGAAAGTAGAACTGAAGTGGCATTCGTTACAAGATACGGCTGTCACGATTCCTCGTTTAAATGATTGATTGATTGCTTAAAAAAAATGATTGTTTGCAGACCCATGTCGTTTAACCAGCAAAGCTTATTTACAGCAGCACTAATTTAATTCCGTAAAATACACACGCAGGCCAACATGGTACGAATGAACAATACACAACTTTTGCCTACAACACATGAACAATCTGCCCATACAGGATTTTTTTTAGCAAATGTGCATAATTATGCATTTTTTTTCAAATCCCACCATATGGCTATACAGACACTTAGGCCTCGTTTACACTGCAGGTCTTGATGCCCAATTCTGATTTGTTGCCTATATCCGATTTTTTTTACCGTCCGTTTACACGTTCTTTAAATTGTGACCCATATCCGAGTCATGTGTTTACACTTGACTGAAACATCGCGCATGTTTAAAGGGGTCTTCTTGCTCAGAATCAGATGGACGAACGCGCAGCGAGATCTCAGGACTGGTGGGAACATACAACATGATCTCATAAAAGTGAGTATCTATAGCACAAATTTTATTTCTCATGCCATTTATACGGCAAAAATAGTTTTTGCTTGCATATGATACGCACTGTAAACGTGCGTATTAAACGCCATAAGCTGCGTTCACACTACACGCGACACGATACCATTCATTTTCAATGGTGAGCGGGCGACTTCCGGCGACCGTTGGCGACTGGATGGGGCGTGTCTGACGACGCGACAAATTTGAGATCTGTTTAACTTTATGCAAATGCAGAGCGACTTTCGGGAGCGACAACCAATAGGAGTGAAGTCAGTGGAGCACGTCACTCTTCAGTGCTGAGTCTGCCCGAGGCAAGTTGAACGAGAAGGTCATTTTAGCAGTCAGAAACTGTCCTATTATTTATGATATATCTCCGTGTACATACAGTGGTATTCACCGTACTGACTCCGTGCCTGAATGGTTTCGGGAACCCAGATAGACCGGTATTTGCCCGTTTTCTGCAGTTAAATAGCCGCGATGGCAAAGAGCACTCACTGTTTCTCATTCATCTTAAATATTATGCATTTTATGTACTGATTCCATTTATATTTAGACTTTTCCTTCCAAAATATTTGTTTGTAGCGGCAAGAAAACGTATTTGTTGTCTAACATAGAGTAACATCCGTGAATGTCACTCACAAACATTACTAGGCAACCAGTAGTGGGAACGCCCTCCAGCGCAGCCACTGGCGACCTGCAGCGACAAGCCGCTTGTAGTGTGAACGCAGCTATAAAGTGCGTATCATGCACGCAAAAACTATTTTTGGCGCAAATGCCACGTGAAAAAAAAATCGTGCAATAAACGCACTTTCATGAGATCGTGGCGGGCTTTAATGAGGAGCAGTGGGTCCGAAATTTTAGGATGAGCAAGCCAACCTTTGGTATGTTGTGTCAACGTGTGTCCACATTCCTCTCCTACGACGACACAATGTTTCGTTGGGCCATCCGTCCATCCGCAGATGCGCGGCGGGGTTTCTCTCGTCATTAAACCGCGGAGACGCAGCCTAATGCCTCGGAAAATCCGATCTGCCCGTTTACATGACAGTCGCATTGGCACATATCCGATTTACATCTGATTTATTTCCACATATGAACGAGGCCTGAAACCGATCTCGAAATATCCGAATGCATGCGTTTTTTTCCTGTTTACACTGTCATAAAACACATCCGATCTGTGTCGCATACGAGTAAAAAATCGGAATTGGGTCACATTTCACTGACCGTGTAAACGAGGCCTTAGAGGTCTCTATAAATTAAAAGAACATTTAGGCAAATATGAGCCTTTACTGTCATATAATATCAGGGACATTTCAGCGGATTCACTCTGCATTTAAATGCGGTTTTCTCTCCTGAAACTCTGCAGTGATCCTCTTAGCAGCATGAAAGATGAAACTTTTATTCAACGTGCGAATAGATTATATACATAAAGCGAGCAAAGAGCGCTCCCTTAATGGCTGAAACTGTCAATCACTTCAGCGTTGTAATTGGACACCTTTGACGTTCACTGCAGAGCGTGAACACAAATAAGCACGGGGCCGCTTGAAAGCGGCTGCCTATCAGTGGGTACCGAGTAAATCTTGGGTATTGGACCCGCAGGCGCCGCAAGTGTGTGAGAAGTGCTGGTACCTGACTGTAGTTGATGTGGTGGTGGTGATGGGGGCGGGATCAGACAGGAACGGCCACAGCTTTCTGTCACACTTGTCATCAATGATGTTCTGCAGAGCAAGCGGAGTTTAAATAAGAATCATTACATTCTATAAAAATCTTACGGACACAGCGTTTCCTGACCTCCATCACATCTTTCAGGATGGGCGTCCACCGGGAGAGCTGATATGTGGATTCTGTGCGTTCTTTCCTGTCGGGCAGAGTCTTACCAGAATTAGTGCCCTAAAAGACATGACAGAGAACCATTTGGTAATGTGTTATCATACTGATCTTCAGCAGCTGCTTCCTATGAAGAAAATCAGCACAGCTCCTATGTTCCTGAATATTGATATCCTAAATATATTATTGAATATATATATATTCAAATATATTGAATTTGCACGATTAATCGTTATAAGATGGCGACCTCGACTCAAAAATCCAAGTGATTGTTATTCCTCAATGATTCACCTGTGTCTATGAACTACAAATTTGCGTTTGCGCTGCAGCTGAGCCAGAGAGAGCAGTTTCAAATAACGATTGTATCAATTCCATCGTTACACCAGTAGGTGGCGACAAGTGACTGTTAAAAATGTATTGGTCATTGAATCATTCAATCAAGAGATTGTTTCAAAAATTCTGATTCGCCCTGTAATGAAACAAGTGTTTACGAGCGAGTAATTGAATCATTCATTCAAACATATTTAAAAACTAAAATAGGTCAAGTTAATTAAACAATTTTAAAATAGACTGCAGAAATTAACATTCTGTCAGAACTTTTGATTAGATTAGATTAGATTAGTTAAAGTTTTTTTTTTTGTTTAATGAGTCTCATTCATGAAAGACGAGCAGAACGATTTTTTGTGTAAATCGTGTGTAAAGTGGTTCTGGCGTAAATTTTCGGATTTATTAAAATGTTCGTATTTTCCAAATGTTAGTTGGTACGCAAGAAATCTACACCTGCTCCCAGCCACGCGTAAATAGTGCGCTTAACACCCGAACGTTTTGCTCATTAATAACTAAGGCTGCAATTTAATTCACCTTAATCGGGTACATATTTGCACAGCTTTTTGAAAAAAATATTATATATAGTAATTACATACGGTTTTTCTTATTATGAGAGCCAGTAATAGCATCTGCGATGGTGGTCCTTCTCCAGTTTGAATACTATTTTTCCGAAGTGAACTAATTCGTTTTTTGCTCTCAAGCTTAATGTCGAACCATTTTCTTCTCACTTCTGGGAATGTTAGATTAACAAATTAAACTCCATTAACTGCATCTGTAATGCTGCCAAGCTTCCTTTTTTTTTTTAGGACCCGATACGCCACACTTGAAAATAAAATGTGGCGTTTTGAACGAACTTCTGATAATAAAACTTCACTTTCTGCATCTGAGAATTTTTTTTTTTTTCATTCGCATTCATGTCATAATATGATGCCCATATATAGTTGTCAGTCGGATTTGATGGGCGGGATTTATGGTAATTGAGAATGAACGTGCACGCGCATCCCATTTACGACTGATTGGAATCCATTAACACACACACACATTTCACTATCACATCTGACGTTTACGAAGTATTTGTGAATCAGGAGAAGAGTTTTCGGGAAGGTCTCTTTATGCGCAAATCACTCGAATATTTACTCGTATATTTACGAATGTTTCATGAATGAGACCCAATGTGTTTATATTTTGTATGCTGCATAGTTTCTTTTTATGCTTTCTTTCCATGTGCTCAATGTTTTATTGTACAGCACTTTGGGTGCAACTTTTAAATGTGCTATCGAAATACATTTTGACTTGGCTTTTGACTTGACTTGAGAACTACTAGTAAATGACATGTTCTTTTGTTTAGTTGTCTGTTCATAATCATGGGAGAATCGTGATCTCTATTTGAAAAAAAAAAAAATCGTGATTCTCATCCTTACTGAATAAAAGTATACGTTTCTTAACAAAAGTATTAGTTACCATTTCAAAGAAGCAATGGTATCCTAAATCTAACTTTGTCAGGCTGGTCCAGTTAATGCACATTTAAAAGTAAACGAACCTAACAAGGTGATTGCCTCTTAACAGCCATTTCTACAGTGTGAAACATTTTATCATAGTTAAATCCATTCGGCAGATTTCCCCATGAATCAGCACAACACATTGCACATGGGCCTGTTTTCAGACATTAGAGCGTCTCATCTTACCCCAGCGATGATGGGGCAGCCCAGGACCTGCATGTTGGTGATGATGTCACTGTCCTTCTGCACGTTTGCGTGCTGGATGAGTTTTGTGAGGTTCTCTTCACCAATGCCTGTGTGTAAGGACGAGTCACTTCTGCTTAATTCATTCAGAGCTTAAGCTGTCAGCTTTCAATAAAGTTATATTGTTCATACCCTTCTTCTTATGGAAAATGTAAAGCAGTATGATGCGGATTTTGTCGTAGGGTTCGATCTCGGTGTTGAGCATAACAGGGACGATACTCTTCATAGCATCTTTGAGCGGTTCCCCCTCAGCATCTGAACCCATGGCCAAGTCCTGAGGAGGGAAACACAAAACCACTTCTGAGAACAGGAAGATTACTGAAATGTAAATTCATTTTTTCTACAGAAATTTTTTATTTGAGTAGATTTTCAAATGTAATTTATTCCTGTATTTTCAGCATCATTACTCCAGTCTTCAGTGTCACATGATCCTTCAGAAATCAGTCTAATATGATCTGATTTGGTGCTAAAGAAACATTTCTTATTATTATTATCAATGTTGAAAACAGTTGTGCTTTTTTTTCAAAAGGAACAACATTTATTTGAATCAGAAACATTTTGTAACATTGTACGCGTCTTTACTGTCACTTTTGATCAATGTAACGCATCCTTGCTGAATAAAATGATCAGTTTCTTCTTCAAAAAAAAAATCCTACTGACCCTAAACTTTTGAATAGTAGTGTATGTTTACAGTTTGTTGCATTACTTCTGAAAATAATGGAAGCAGCATTTAAAGTGATTGAGGAAGACTGAATATTGAATGTTTTGATGGCCTCATTTAAACATCTTTGAATAATAAAAATCATACAAATGATTGAGAGAAAGTAACCATTTCCAATGCTTTTTAGAAATAAATCAGAAAAATAAGATGTTCACGATGTTAATTTAAATATTTTACTGCCGCGGTAAAACATATCTACACTACCAGTTGTGTGGCATTTTTTTGTTTGTCATTTTTTGTGCTTTATTTATTTATTTATATACAAAATGTAGCTAAAATATCCAGACCTTCACCGCCAGATGTCGAGGTAGATAATGTACATAACAATTACATAAAACAATATAAGTTGTGAGAGTCCATCAAAACAGGAGGAAGTTGAGATTATCCATCAGAAGGCACCAAGCGCGGCACATAAAGAACGGCATCAGCCAGACATTAACCAGCTGCTTATAATACCTCCACGCACAGAATGATGCACTTAGGAAAAATCGTCCATCTGCTATACATAAAACGGGGAGATGGCTGTACAATGTCCTTTCGAAGATTAAGCAATAGCTTCCTGTACATTATTTTATTGCAAGAGATCAAAGTTCAGCACACAAGCTGTTGCATAAATTGACAAGAAGAAGCTTAGAAATAGTAGTAAAAGATAGTAACAGACCCTTCTGAAATCAACCCGTAAACATAAACAGTGCATTTCACTAACATTAGATATTAAACTCATGAAATAACACTGCTAAATACAGTGATGGGATCTGGTCTGAGGACGAAAGCAGACACTGACCTGCTCCACCACACAGAGCCTGTCTAATGTGTTCTTGAACTTCTTCATGCAGGCATCAGCGAGGTTCAGGTGAGTGGAGTACTGTCGACATCACAGACAACAACAAGTTAAAGTCGTCGTGTATGTATACACACAAGCGTCAGGGGGAAAAGGAAGCTGTGTTTTGTGAGTCGTACCAGGCTTAGTTCTTTCTGGTACTGTGGCATCTTCTTCAGCATCTGAGACAGATCTTTGATGTTGGCCTGAGGGAAGACGTATCAATGACTCTTTAGCATGAATCAGGTACAAAAGAGAGCATTTGTTAATTCGATTTGTTTGTTCTTTTTCCATCAAGATTTCAAAAAATGTTGCTATTTAGAAAATGTTGTTTCCTCTGGGGTCCTTCGGACCAAATGGACCCGAAGCATTTAAATAAAAAATTATTAAAAATTATAGCTTCATCGGAATGGTCTGAAATTTGGTGACTTTGTTGGTACTTGGTATATGAACATCCAAAAAAATTGGGGACAGGATTTGAATAGTCTAAGTGGTTGTAAAAAAAAAATAGTAACGCTCAGGACCTTCGGGTCCAAATGGACCCCCATAGGAAATTAATGGGAATTGGCAAAAATGTGAAAATACAGAGTTTTTTTGTGCGTACAATCTACAAATCAGCCACGATCCAGAAAAAAAGCACACAACAGTGAAGGGGTGAATCTATAAAACATCAAGAGTGCAAAACAGACACATCCACACACACAAACACACTTTTATACACATACACACTAATAAATTCAGATTACATATATCTGTTTTGAAATTTTAAAATGCTTAGTGTGTCCACCAGATGGCATCCATCTCATTTCAAAAATTGCTTTCATGAGGCCTAGGCTTGACTCTAAAATGAAATACATCTTTAATAAAAAAAAAATATATATATATGTAAAAAATTCTATTATATTCAATAGGAGAAAAAAGAGGTCATAATCATTGCATAAATATTAATTATAAATCATAAAATTATCTCAAAACACCAAAAAAGAAAAGAAAAAATATTATAAAAAACAAGTAAAAAAAAAACATTACGATTTTTTTTTATATATATGTTAATCCCGCCCTCTCGGACCATTTGGTCCCGAAGGTCCTGAGGGTGACTGTTAAATGAAGGACCCCAGAGGGTTAACCACCTGCGTGAAAAAGAAGTGCGATTAATTGTATTGAATGCGCACTTGTCGTTTACCGGTACTTTAAATATTTAAGTCCACCTGTAGTTAATAATTGTATCTCTTAAGACTCATCTTTGATAACCAAAATGACATATTTAAATGTTTTTTCCCCGAAAAAATGATTCCTACATGACTTAAGATAGCATGAAAGTAACTCTACACCCTAGCTTCATTTAGTATGCGCAGTCTCATGAATATGCAAATTCATCCACACCAGCTCAGATCACCTGATCCACTCGCTCAACTTTACTGTAGTAAACGCTGCACAATGGCAAGTGGAAACACTGGTTTAATTCAGCCATATGTGTTTGAACCAGAAACTGATTCAGAAGATGAAGAGCAAATTATACAGGCTCGTACTCAATATGAGAATGATAATGTTTTATGCATCGCTCTCTACAATGTCTGACACATAACGGGAATTGCTATGATTAGCCTTTTGCTTGTTTACCTTGTCTGTGTTCATCCTCTTGCTCTCACAGAAGGTGCGCAGCAGCTCCGTCACTTTCCTGAAACAAAGCAGAAAGTGTGAGCACAAAAGCCCATCGGACAAGCAGGAAAGGTCATGGTTGATCTGCTCTTACTTGGTGACGTCTGCTATGTGCATGTGCCGAAGCTGCACCCACAACTCATCGTCCTCGTCCAGCAACACTTCCTTCTCTCGAGCCTCGCCGATCCCTGCCGTCTGATACCTGCCAGCAACATGCCACAGTTCTCAGGCTAACGCTAATCATTTCACACATCGCTGGTCAGATTAACCGCTCTAAAGTTATAATGGGAATCGGTAGACAATCACACACACTTGTAAATGTCTTGCTCGATGTCCAGCAGATCGTAAGCCATAGCCTGAAAGGTGAGCTCGTGCAGGATTGGAGAGACGGGATCATATCCACGGTCCACTATAAGTAGCTGGGAGCGAGCTTTATCTGTGCCCTGTCGGTCAAACAACGCAAAGGCTGTTAAACTGCAATTACAGTTCCTTACAGTTGTAAATACACAAATCAACAAAATATAGTACATTGTTCTAGTGGTTTTTGGATATTTTAATCCAAAAATCTTACATATTGTCCCATTAATACTTTTAATATATATAGAGCTATCAATTTCTTTCACAAATACTTCTAAATATCAATTTTTTACGTTTTTTGAAAGGAGTCTCTAATGCTCATCCAGGCTGCATTATTTGATAATATTGTGAAATATTATTACAATGTAAGATAACTGTTTTCTATTTAAATACATTCTAAAATGTCATTTATTCCTGTGATGTCAAAACTGAAAACCTCCAGTCTTCAGATGTCACATGATCCTTCAGAACTCATTCTAAAATGACGATTTGCTGCTCAAGAAACATGTATTATTATTATTCTCAATGTTGAAAACAGTTGAGCTGCTCATTATTTCGGTGGGAACCGTGATAGATTTAAGGATTCTTTGATTATTAGAAAGTTCAAAACAACAGCATTTATTGGAAACAGAAATCTTTTATAACATTCATTATAAATGTCTTTACTGTCACTTTTGATTAATTGAATAAATCCTCGATGAATAAAACTATCAATTTCTTTCTTTAAATAAATTTTAAAAAGTCGTACTGACCCCAAACTTTTGAATGGTAGTGTATAATCCGGCTCCGAAATAAACGTATCCGCCATGAAATTTTGATGTATTTCATTAAAAAAATGTTAACAAATTTTTATTAGAAATGTGTTAATCATGTAACAAAATTATTATTTAGTTGTTTATTTCCTTGTGTATTTATCAACAGCGCTTTTACGTCAAAAGAAGGTTGAGCGATAAATTTAAATTGTTAAATTGCAATTTAAAACACACAGGCCTGGTTTCACAAACAGAGCTTAAATTAAGCCAGGATTAGGCCTTAGTTCAATTAGGATATGTAAGTAATAAACATGCCTTAGAAAAAAACATAACTGGTGTTCATCTTAAGACAAAACAATGGCAATCTTGATATTTTTAATATATATCAGTGCAAGTGTCTTTCAGTTAAAACAGCTCAAACATGCATTTTAGTCGTGGACTATCTTCAGCCTTGTCTGTGAAGCTGGGGAAGTTTTCAATTAACGCAATCTCTGGTGTTGTCAGCCAGGGGAGGAGGGCTTCCCCAGCCGAGTCTTGGTTCCTTCCTCGTCTATTTAAACAACATCCTAGGGAGTTCACCTTTGGCTTGTTCACTGGAGGATTTTAACTTAAGGGACCATTTTTATTCACCTTTTCTCTACTTTATTTTCTATTGTCTGTAAAGCTCCTTTGGAACAAACGCTTGCGACTGGAATTGAATTTAATAATGTGAAATTTCATCAAATAAAATGCAGGATCAGAGAGAAAACAGATGAGGGGTTAGAGAAAAAAAAAAAAAAAAAATGCGACAATAACACAGATGTAACAGAACACAAGGAGAGAGCAAAAACAAGACTTGCATTGACACCCACCTGAACCTCGAGAAAATACCAGCTGGCATTTGAGAACAGGAAAAAAAAAAACAGAGAGAAGAGAAAATAGTCCAGAAAGTAGAGTAAGAAATGATACAACAATCAAGAAGTGTCACTTTATATTGAAGTAACGGGTATTTGTGTGACAACATATTAGAAGGCGTTTATAATAATATATATATATATATATATGCCAACATCTCACCTCTCCCATACTGGGATTGTCTGCTTTATGTGCATTCAGACGGTCCATCACCATCTCAGCCAGGGTGAAATTCTCCTTTGGCCCCCTTAGAGAAACATAGTTGGTTTACACTTACACTTCAAACAAATCATGTTACACCAGGAAACAAAGTCTTGACACGTACTGGCGGTAGCGGATGGCTGGGTATTCCTTCAGTGTGTCACAGAGTGTGGCGATCTGCTCGGCCATGGCCTCCATCATCCTGGCCCTGTCGTCTAGATTCGTCTGAGTTGGGCTGTAGAACGTGTGGAAGGAACTAGGGTTGTCCAGAGAAAACACCTGCAACAAAAACCATTCAAAAGTTTGGGCTCGGTAAGAATTGTACTTCTTTTTTAAAACAAGAAATAAATACTTTTATCTAGCAAGGATGCATAAAAGATACACCATGCAACGTTTAAAAACAAAACTGCATGCATGCTGCGGAAAAACACTTTATTTTAAGGTGACGTAGTTACATTGTACTTACTCTAGTAAGTATTAACTACATGTACTTACTATAGTTACGGTTAAGGTTAGGTTTAGTTACTTGTAATTAAGTACATGTGGTAACGTGTAACTACATCACCTTAGATTAAAGTGTTACCGAACATTGTTTTGGTTGTGCTTCGGCTGTGCGGATGAAAAACCATCCCGTCAGGTCTAAAATATAAACACCTATAATAATAAGCCAACCATAGTGAATCAGGGTAAGACAAAAACATGCTTTGGAGGAAGGATTGATGAAGCATCGACTTAATTTTGAGCGAACAAATAGTTACATCGTGTACATTTAAGATGATCAAAAGTGACAGTTAAGACATTTATAACGTTACAAAATGCCTATTTCAAATAAATGCCATTCTTTTGAACTGTCTATTAATCAAAAGAATAATGGAAAAATTGCATCACATTTCCACAAATCTATTAAGCAGGTTTCAACACTGATAACAACAAGAAAATGCAAATCAGGATATTAGAATAATGTTTTGTACGGCATTCTCTGACACGCACCTGAGACTCGTACGGTATGAAAGCCACATTGATTTCCTTCAGGGTTTTGATGACCTTGGCAACCTTCGACCTCCCGATCTCAGCAAAAAGCCCATCAGGACAAGCTGTGCAATTTACAAAATAATTAATACACAAATCCAGATCACACAAGCGTAGGCAACCATAACAGACTGTATTCAAGCTTATAGTGAAATGAATAGCCTTACTGTCTGTAAAGAAGATGTGTGCTGCTTTGTATGTGAGGCTGTCTCTTTGAAAATCACCGATTAGAGATTGAATTGACTGAAAGAACAAATATGAGATCATTTCAACATGCTTAAGACCAGGAGTGTTAACAAAAATGATCAAAGAGAAGTTAAAGGGATAGTTCACCCAAAAATGTAAACTCTGTCAGTATTTACTCTCCCTCATGTTGTTCCAACCCCGTAAGACTTTCGTTCATCTTCAAAACACAAATTAAGATATTTTTGATGAAATCTGAGAGCTGGATCACTCCTCCATAGGCTTCTTAAGGGATCGAAGCTGGCCGGCCCAAAAGTTATGAAAGACATCGTTAAAATAGTCCGAGTGACTACAGTGGCTCAATCTTAAGTTTATCAAGCGACGAGAATACTTTTTGTTGCGCAAAAAACAAACAAAAATAACGACTTTATTCAACTATTCATTTCCTTCTCTGTGGGCTTCGATATTTCACGTAGTGAAACTGCGCAAAGCTTCTGTGTTGTACGTCACGCATCACACACATGACCAGCGTCAGCCAATAGTGAGCCTGCGTGTGACGTGCAACACAGAAGCTTTGCGCAATATCACTACGTGAAATCTCGAGGCCCACAGAGAAGGAAATGAATAGTTGAATAAAGTCGTTATTTTTGTTTGTTTTTTGCGCACAAAAAGTATTCTCGTCGCTTGATAAATTTAAGATTGAGCCACTGTAGTCACTCGGACTATTTTAACGATGTCTTTCATAACTTTTGGGCCGGTCAGTTTCGATCCCTTAAGAAGCCTTTGGAGGAGTGATCCAGCTCTCAGATTTAAACCAAAATATCTTAATTTGTGTCCCGAAGATGAACGAACGTCTTACGGGGTTGGAACAACAGGAGGGAGAGTAATTACTGACAGAATTTTCATTTTTGGGTGAACTAACCCTTTAACAACACTAGGCAACATATTGACACTTCCACTGTACGAGGTGTGCCAGTAAAGATGGCTCACCTTTGGCACAGGGGAGATGAGGTAAATGGCCTCCAGACTAGGGATCGGCTCCCTCCGCTTGTTAATGTCCTCTACAACTGTGAAGAAAAACAGGACAGCTCACATCTTGTGTTCTTAGGTCAAGATTGCACCTAGTGGTTCATTGGATAACCAGTGAAGTGTAACAGACACATTATGCTATAAAAACATGCTAATAAAAATCATCATTCACACTTTAGTATCTGACACTGGTGACTTTAAAATGGAAAGTGTTTCATAGTGAAACAGTGAACTGATTTGTGAAAGAAAATATTGAATATACTCACTTGTAACGCCCTCCGCCATGATGTCAGACATCTTACAGCAAGAGGACAGAATCCGCATACTGATGTGATCCACGATGAGAACCTAAATAAACACAACAAAGAAACAGAGTCAAAGTCATTTGCAAACAGATTAACAACTACATAACTTCAGTCTACTGTACTGATATTATATTATATTACCTTCCATTCTCCATCTTTCTTCACACTCTTGATGACGCCACTGAGGATTTCTACAGACAAATACAATGTAGTCTGGTTAGAGACCATCATGTATAGTGTTTATTTAATACAACACATATATATGGAAGATCAGGATATTTATGGCATTTACAATGTTGATGCGTATTATGATGATAAGCTTTCATTTGCTGAAGCAGGTTAAATGTCTTTCTGGATCACCAGGAATAAGAAATAAATAACTGACGGTCCTTAATTTGTGTTCCAAAGATGAACGAAGATCTTACGGGTTTGAAACGACGTGAGGGTGAGTTATTTAAAACAGAAATTTCATTTTTGGCCGAACTATCCCTTTAAGATTTGGTTCTTAATTTACCTGCCTGGTTAATACAAATTTATTTTGTGTAAGAGAGTAAATATATAAATACATTCAGAAATGTGTTTATTTTTTCATACAAATACAGACTTGTTTCTTATCCAAATATAGTAACTGTTATTTTATCAAATTTGGCAAGAAGGAAACATGACGTAAGAGGCTTATGATAAATGTAAATAATAATAATACATTTTATTTAATGCGCTTTTCTAAAATCCAAAGCGCTAAACATAAAAAATAACTCTGGTGAAATGCAATAGTAATATATTAATACTGTGTAGGATGTTGTGCATTTTCTCAGGAGTTAAAGGAAAAACTGACATTTCCTGTTGTGTTTTTACAATGTCCGGCGTGATGTTGATCACAAGACCTACACTTTTTAAATCGTGCACGTACAAACAAGTCTATTATCCCCTCCATTAACATAAATGACATTTCTGAGGAGTAAACATGTTGGGTAAAGTCGTTAAACTTGGCTGAATTTGTACTAAATGAAAGTTCAAGTGTCTGTAAAAACTTGAGCAGCTTCTTACGGAAGTTTGGTCCATTATGATTGAGCGCTCACTGTACACCTGTTGCTATGATTAAATATCACATGACAGGGCAATATGTGAATATTTAAGCACTTAACTATTATATATAATGTCAGTAGACGTTTTAAAGGCCGTATTGTGAGATTAAATCAAACTTACTCTCGTTTGCGAGCGCTTTTAGTCCACTCGGGGCCATCTTGACACTTCCCTGTTGACAGACTCCAGCAGGGCTGTGAAGGCAGACTCTTCCACACCCTGGTGGACGAGAACACCCGGAAGATACAGTTCAAAATAAAAGTCTTCGAAGATGTCTTCTTGTTACGATGACTTGACCAATATTTATAGAAACAATGGTTTCTTTTAAACAAATTAAAAACTAAAATAAACAACAACATTAACATAAACTAGGCTCCGTCTCGTTTTATACTGGGGCTAGTTGCATAAACACAGTCAGTCAGACTTTACTTTTAAAGTCCTCGTGAAATCAAAATTGAAGTTTTTCTTTTACTTTTAGTATGTATATGTTAGCCTTACTGTTATCTATAAGCAAGTGTGCTCCAAAACAATGACAAAATTCGCATTTAGAAGACTTTTGAAAAGAACTTTTGAAAAGAAGACTTTCGCATTTAGAAAACTTACAGTCTCTCACTTCCATCAATATGGATCAACGATTTTGATGACATCACTCTGCACTTCAGCTTCTCATCAGATTTTCTGTCCAATCAAATGCTCTCTAGAATCTAAAGCATCCTGCCCCCTATATTATGAATAGAGACTGAAACTAAGTAAGTCTAAAGTGCGAGTTGGCGCAGACCAGAAAACATATCAACCCATTTTGATTTCTGCACAGAATGCTATATTTTAAAGCGATATGGAGGAGATTAGGAGGAGAAGTGGTTATAGATTAGAGATTGGTGGTTAGAGATTGAAGGTTACCTACAGAGCTCTTACTATCTGGACTCTGTTACACTCACCCCCCTAAACCTCACTCCCATCTGGGTCACGGCACCAATGCAACCCCTCCGGTCCTACTCGTCCCACTCCAAGCGGGATTCATCTCTGGTATGGGAGGCGTGTGTGCTAACAAGGACGTTAAAGACCGCAGTCTGTAGCGTCAGTCGCTAGTGCGCCTTTTGAGATCGGGGGAGTGAGGTTTACCTGCACAGCTCTCACTAGCTGGCCTCCATTACACTTGTATTGCTTAAAATGGCATACAGACACTAGATGTTCATTTAGCAGCATACCATCTAGCATGGAATGGCTAATTCGGTAGCCTCGACTGTTGTGTAATAGACTAAAACATAGCCTTTAGGTTCGCTGTTACTTTTCGTCCACAACTCTGCTTGACAGGATTTCCCCAAAACACAAAAAAGTTTTGTACAATGTCATTTGCTAGGCCCTTAATAATTATTTTACCGATTCCACTTTTTCTCAAAGCAGAATCCAATTAGACCAAAAGGATACACCTCAGTTGAGCTCTGAAAAAATCAGCATTTAGTGCGATGTGTAAAATTAACAAAACAAAACCCATGAGAGAGATTAGGTTTGCTGTCTCTGCACACTTGCACGAAACACCAGAAGCCGACAGCAGATTATTAGTCAAGCCAATTCAAAAACTTCCAGCATAACATTATCTGTTGCTCCAGCACCAACACACAAATATGGGTTGATAATATACAGGATTTATTTTCCAGTTTTATGGCCTTTATATTCATTTTTGGCTGGGAAAATAATATCTGTCTGATTGTATTAAGTCCTTAGTATTCAATCTTGATAGTTTGTTTACAATTGAAGTAACTGCCAGTTTAAGTGGATTGTGAGTGAAGAGGTTATTGCTTTATTAATCAAGTTTAGTTTTCTAATCCAGATGACTAATTTGAAGTTAATCTCTCCATGATAAATGCTACATATTTTGTTGATCTGCTGATCTGTGGCCCGGGACACACCAGTACTGGTTAAAGATACACTAAAACACTGTGAAGATTTAAATTTAAGAAAACATGACCCAGAAGATGAGCATTTTCTTTACATCAGGCACGTAATGTTGCTCAACAGAGGACTGTAATGGTACAAGTCAGACATCTGTGCCTTTGTGAAAAGAAATTTGGGAGCAAGTTTATAAACAATTCAAACTATTTATCAGTTGATTTATTTTCATCATTTATTGATTATGATTGTGCAGGAACGTGTTATAGTTACTATGTTTGTACCTGATATGGTCAGAGAGGAAAATGTGCTTGATGTACTTTCTCAGAGAGAGAGACATTACTCCTTGACCTTGGGGAAAGTATCGACACCTCGTTTATCAGAAGTAATTGAATGAACAGCAACCGACCTTTAGATATTTGTTGTCTAATTTGTTGTCAATGTAATTATATTCCTCCAGGAGGCAGCGTTGCACAGTGTTTCCAAAACCTACATGAAACAGAAGCCTATAGTGGTAAAAATCTCAATAGATAATACTCTATTTTAATGTTTCAATACTAGTTAAGCAACAAGCAGAGCCGATCCTGACCTCCCTGGGGCCCTAAGCAAAATTCTGTTTAGGGTCCCTACCTGACCCATGTAAACCATTTGCCATTGCCACACAGTCACACCTGACACCCCAGTGCTCCCTAGTACAATCCTCCCTCCTTTAACTAGTACTAATGAAGATGTAATTCCTGATATCAGAAATAGACATTGTTACTAGAAAAAGTACATTCGTAATATCAAGAATTCACATTTTAAATAGTACAAATTTATATGAATGAATAAAAGCTAAAATGGCTTGCCATAGCATGTCACTGTGTTTCAAATGATAAACCAGTACTTGATACTTGATGGTTATTATTTACAGAGGGATGTGGATCCATATTGACCAGTATGTCCAGCCAATCAACATTTTAAATACAATACCCTATAAATCAATAGTCAATGTCAATACATTGCTCTCCATCTTGCTTTATTGCAGAGTTGTAACTAAACTGACTTGGAGACTAGATAATCATTTCCTTGTTTTAAAAGTATGTGCGCCTATAAGTGCCATCACGTCCATATTGTAGCCTACTGATCCCCACAGATGTGTTGCTGGAAAGTGCGCGTTTCATTTCGTGCACGCGCATATGGACGCATGTATGTTACGCCCGACGCGGTTATATTTTCCGAGCTGCAGTTTATAAACCAACACCGTTGCCCTTTGTCGTTCATCAAACGTAATAGATAGTTGTATTTCACTCTCACTTTTTTTGTCAGGCACCAAGTCACAGAACACAGGCCTGGAAGTGGCCCATTAGCAAGCAAGACACAGAAAGACCAAAAGATGCACTGCCCCAGCTGGGTTAGACAGACAGACAGACTAGAGAGAGATGCACATCAACTTAACTTTACTGTTCTTTGCTGACATCAAACTTGGGAGCGGAGAGAACACAAGTCTACGCAACTTGCGTAGTGTGCGTTTAGGGCTCTGGCAACAAGACGTGGGCCTACTACACTATCCCCGTTTCACAGACAAGGCTTTTTAATTGAAAGCAACTTGCATTGGCATATCTTAAAATATGTCAGTGCCATTGTTTTGTCTCAAGGTGAACACCAGTAATGTTTTGTTCTAAGGCACTTTTATAAAAGCTACTTAAATGTCCTAACTGAACAAAGGCCTAACCCTGGCTTAAACTAAGCCCTGTCTGTGAAACCGGACCTATTTGTATTATGATTTTAGTGTGAACAAAACTCGCTTGTGTGTTATATCTAGTGTTACAACTTCATTGGCCTGACTATGCATTAACGCCAAAAACACTAATATGACTAAAAATTATGCTTTAAACAGTTTTACATCTTAAATACATGTTTTAACATAAGAATGGATCTAAATCATTTGATAAATATATTAGTTTCATGTTTGTTTTAAAATCTATTCCCTCCCATTGTAAGAGTCTCAAAAACATACATTTTTGCTTTTTTAAACATACAAGGAAAACACGAGTCTGAATAATTTTTCTGGCAATCAGCATTATCCCAAAAATGCTGTCGACTGAGATGAACAAGCAAACATCTGTTGTGTAGTTTAAATAATACTCTTTTACAACATGAAAATATATTATGACCAAACGTATAATAGAATTAAAAAAATAATAAAAAATTATGACAGCAGATGAGATTTAAATAAAAAATCCTTATTTATTTTCAAATTGGAAAAAACAAAAATCAACAGCAAAAACAAAAAGCAGTGTTCTGATTTATTCACCAAGCAGGTAGTTACACACACACACTGAAGTCCAACCACTCAATTGCAACTGTTTAAAGACATATATTTACAAAAAATATATACATTTTCCCACCCGTTTATTAATAATGTCCAGAAACAATAAAGATTGAACTATATGGTCTGACACTTTGAGAGAAGCATTACAGTGTTTCCAAGTCACACGTGAAGGCTTGATCTCAAGGTTGTGATATGACACAATTGCATGTGAAGTTTTTTTTTAGTCATTCCTCAGACTCCATGGCCATTTGTTTCAGCATCTTCTGCTCTTTCCGGTTTCTCATGCGCTGTTTGAAATCCTCCAGTTCTTGCCTCTGTTCCAGAATGAGAAACGGCACAAGTAAAAGAGAGCATGTGGCATCTCGCTTCTCACATATATATATATATATATATATATATATATATATATATATATATATATATATATATATATATATATATATATATATTCACTGCCCGGCCATGTTTGGATTTAAATAGGCTAATGCTTAAGAGTATATGATTGGAATGGCTGTGAGGAGCATGAAGAATCATTTTCACACATGAATTGGCGCATGAGTCCAGATCTTAAATTCACTGAAAGTGTTTGGCATGTGCTGGAGGAGACTTTACAGAGTGCTGGACTCTTGCATTGACAACACAAGATCTTGACCAAAAATTGATGCACCTCTTGATAGAAATAAATGTTGTGATGCGTCTTCCTACATGGTTGTTTAAGAAATGAAAAGCTACACACTTCACCAATTAGGGTTAGAAGAACTGATGTCAAACATATAACATGCTAGAAACACAATAATCACTGCAATAATGATCCAGTCATAGACTCTCAAACATTTGCCTATTTAAATCCAAACAGTAACTTTTTTTTGGCCAGGCAGTGTGTGTGTGTATAATATATCTACCCAAATATCTGTTGTGTGCATTAAACTAAAGAGGAAATACTTACATGCATTTTCTCATCAGGTGGGAAAATCTCCCTCTGAAAAATGTGATTATATATTGTGATCATACAACTGAATATAGGAAATGCTAAATAGCACACATAAGAGAAACTCCCAAGTGAAACCAGAATATGATTTTAAAACACAGAGAGATCCCCAAAAAATGTTTTAAGTATTAAATGAATAATACAATAATAATGTATTATTAGGACAATTATAAACCTTTCGCTTCACGATGTATTCCTCAAAATACTCGGCCTGGTTTGATATCCAAAACATCGTCACTGGAAACGACAGATACACCATCATCTGTGTAAATAAACAAATAAACACTACATATTCATGCATTCACTTTTTTATCGGTTATTCACATAGGCAGGCAGTGAGGAGCAATATAGTGTTTAGCAAAGTGGGACGTTTAAAGCGTCTGCACGTTATTTTAATATATTATTTATGTCCCCAAAGATGGTTTAGTTTGTGTATCTATCTTTATATAGACAGACCGGGGTGCTTACAGGTCTAAAAGTAATCAAACTCACCCTAAAAACCTCTATTTTAACCCCCATGTCCTACAGCTTGACAGTCACGCATGCAAGCACTTCCTGTTTTCAAGATGTCAAAATAAAAGTCCGCTCTAAACACGCGCAGTCACAGCTGTCCCAAAAATACCTCTCAATGCGCCCTCGCGGACTCGCGCTAAGGGCCCTATAGCTATAGGTCTGCACTACATGACGTCACCGAAGTGTGGACTCTGAGGAAGTCCACAAGTCCGGAGTGTGCCATTTGGGACAGGGCCAGTTTCATTACGTAAGCCAGCGGCAGGCTTATGAAACAGCGTGCAATCGTTGACTGGAAGCTGGTACATCAACATGATGATGTAAGCATGCAGTAACTTTACATCAGTACACGACATCAAACTGTAAGACCAATATTCGCCTCTGTTTAACCACATCTAATGATATTTGAAGAAAATTAAATGGTTAGTTCATCTAAAAATTATGTCATCATTCACTCACCCTCATGTTATTTCAAAGCTGTATGACTTTCTAATGTGGACAAAGCCTAAGGTGATAATATTAGGGAGAATGACACGGTTTTCAGACATCATCTATTTTAATTTTACTTTTAAATTTTAATTACTTTTTTTCATTTTTAATTTAATTTCACAGAAACTGCCAAGAAATGTCCGAGTCATATTTCACCCCAAACCAAAGGGTGAAAAGTACATTAAATCCGCTGAATTGAAATCTTAAAGGGATAGTTCACTCAAAAACGATAATTTTGTCATCGTTTACTCACCCTCATGCTGTTCCAAACCTGTATGAGTTTATTACAGTTAAGTGATTCTATAATTGGAGATAACGTACATTTTGCATTTCTAAAAGTTAAGGGGAAAAAACTGTTCACTAACAGAAATTATTTCCAGTATCTTATTGAAAACATTACATTTTAATAATTCAGTGCTTTCCAAACACAAGTTACTTCCCTTTTTAAAAAAAAACAGATTTCTTCATAGAATTGTTTGTCAACATTGTTACTCTACCTTGGAAATAGAGTTTGACAATAACAGAATTGCCCATTTTAATCTTTTTTGTTAAAAACTCAACTTGCTAGCATAAATGACAAGAGCACATGGCACTAATGAAATCCTGATTAAAATGCTTTTAAACAAACCACTGTGTGATCAGTGATAAATTCTGGTTTCCTCTTGATATTGTGGCAACAATTTTGACAATTAAACAGTTGGTGTAAGAACTGTTTAGTTTAAAATACATTAAATACTTAAGCACTTTCACTGCTTCAGATCTTATTAGTGAGGGAAAGTGATGTAATTTCCTGTATCTTACATAGTTAGTTGTGGGAGATAATTACACCAATTTAAATGCAAAGTATGGTACAGTAACAGAATAGACAAGATTTATAGACACATTTTTATGTTAAAAAAAATATGTTTATGTTAAGTTGTTTTAAACAATTTAATGTTGGAGAATTGGGAAAATGACTATTTAAGGCTTTTATAAATAGAATAAATGAAATATTACCCTAAATACATTTAATATCAAAGTTAAATATAACATTTTGATTACACAATGATAAATGAAAAAAAAAAAACACTAATTAGACCAACAAGAAATCATGATTTTCTCCTATATACAACAGAAAATATGGTATGACCTGTAAGATCATGATCTCAAATTATTATTATTTTTTTAAAATAACCATTTGAAAATAGTAGGGAAAAAAGTAAAGACTTTGGACACCAAATGTACCTGCAATTACCTAGTACCCCTTTAATGTCCCTCATTTCTCTTGATTATAGTGTGAAATATGACCCAACATTTTCTTGAGCTTTAATAAGATGCTGAGAGGTGCAATAAATGTTGCATATGAAGGCACAGGTTTCTTTGCACCATTTTCATCGAGTCGACATCTCAACTCAAGCTGAAGAGTGAAAACTGATAGGTAGCAAAACATTGCATATCCATTCTGTGTAGAAATGAACTGATGAATTAGAAAAAAAGGAGACCGACTCATTTTTGTTTCATTTTAATTTTCTATAAAAGAGATGAGTTTATTTCATGATCATAACAGATTGAACCATTGACCTCGATAGCCCACGCACATACCAAACAGTAATCGAGGAAAATGTTAAACAAACCCAAAAAAAAAAAGAAAAAAAAAGAAAATAACAAAATACCTGAATAAAGCAAACTCTCTGCTGAGCTGCAGGTCAGCACATTCTCCGGAGAACTCGAAACTATGGCACATAACGTCCAACTGTTACCATGGAAAAGAAAATACATTTAAAGGCTTGAAGGAATGAAGTGTTGCTCTTCTTTTAACTTGTACAGACCAAATTAACCAAAGAAAGAAAAAAAAAATAGATATTTATATAAGTGGACTTCATGAGGAAGAAAACAAAAAAAGTTTGCAAAGCAATATCGTTTAAATGAAGTGTTGCGATTTAAACCTCCGGGTAAAGAACACCCTCTCCAGCCACATGACATACACTTCCAAACATCCAGACACACACACACACACACGCACGCACACGATGATGGGGCATATGTCCTCTTAGCAGTTTTGAGAAAATGAAAACTAGTTGTTCGGTGTATACTTAAGAAGTCCAGCTAAAACTAGATTTAAACCTGAATATTGTAAATGGGTAAAATATAAAATGTTTACGTTCCTTTTTTGTCTTTTAAACACAAGCTCTCGCACCTAAATCCCCAATTTTCCCCTCCCCGGTCCAACCGTGCCCCCTCCCCTCGCCCTCCCAGAACGTAATATATGCCAACTAGAATCGCAATACAATACAGGCACTGGAGAAAACACTATAAGAGAAAACTCAGAGGACCTGCCAAGGTCTCGAATTGTGTCCCCCCCCCCCCCCCGCCCGCCCCCCTTGCCGAGTCAAAGAACAGAATTAGAACACATATCCACTATAATCGAACAAGAACAATGATAAATCAGAACGGTTTGATTTTTTTTTTTTCTTTCAAACTTTTTGCAATTATATCTAGCACAGCATACGGAGTTCTCTCTGTGCGGCTGTGATAAAACGATCTGTGAAGAGAAAAGAGGAGTCATGCAGTAACCAGCTGAGAGCTCCGTCGCCTTGGCCTGGTGTCCGCGTGACGCTCTACCAGTTGCACAGAGTCGCCCGTTTTCCTTCTGTATGTATAATACACTTAAAATAGTATTCTTTAAATTATACTCAAACTAAACCATACTCAGAACCCGCCCCGCATGGGTCAACGCTCCAGACTCCCCACCAGGCTAACATGAAAACCATGAGCAGTGAAAGCATATCTTCCATGATTCTGTCCTCAATTAACACTTGTCAGAATAATGCATATATTAGGGTTTATTTTCTACAAGGCTACCTAAAACTTTTAAATGACGAGTGGGGAGAACAAGAAAATATATTTATATATTTAGAAAGACATGTTAAGTGAAGCGTTTCGGGTCTCGGCTATCAGCGTAAAAGGATATGGGTGTTTGGCATAGACATCAGAGGGTAAAGGTGTTGGTAAGAGAGTTAAAAATATTTAAGAAAAAAGAAAAAAGAAAAACAACAACGAAGAGAAAAAAAAAAAGAAAGGAGAAGATAAACAAAAATACAACCAACCAATCAACCAAAAACAGTAATTAAGAAAATACCTTTTTACAGTAGATCCTACATAATGAAAAATCTGCACATGATAACAGTGTGAAACACACCATGTTTAGTCATTTGTCACAGCCCCTGGTGAATATTGTTTGTGTTGTCAGAGGTGTAAGGCGAGCTGTACTTCCTCTCCCGAGGAAGATCATCTAAGTGCCCCCGATCCCATCCTGCCATTTGCCTGCGTGTGTTCGCGAAAAAGGGGAGGGGGGGATATAGCGAAAACGAAACGATGGGAAGGAAAGCAAATCAAACGGGAAACAAAGACGTTTTCTATTCCCCCCGCAGACATCTGGCAGTCGACGGATGCCGTAACTAGAGAATCAGTACATGTTATTGTTGTCGTTCAGATATTCCTCCGGCGATCGCATTGTCCATTGCTCCCATATTCTGAATTAAAGAGTCACACACACAAGTCCTCTCTTTCCCGCCATGGTCACAATGGCAAATCCAGGAGGAATGCCGGAGAGGCGGAGCCGTCCCAGTGTGAGGGTCCCTCTTTCTGCTAAGGCAAAAGGAGAGCTACAGCCTCCCTCCCTCCCTCTCTCAGGGCCTCAGCTTATCCATCAGCCTCTTCAGTGTTTCTTGTGGTCAGATGGGGTCTTTTTTCCCTTACTGCGCTTTTCAGTTCATTCTAGAGGAATCCATGAGCTTCTGTTTTCGCAGTTTATCTCTTCCTCTCGCACTTCAGAACAAGTTCTCCTCAAAGATAGCCATCAAATCGCTTTGGAAATTCATGTCAATAGTAGCTGCCATCTGTAGAGGTGGAGATAAAAAACAACAACTAAATTAAACAACATTGGCACATGTAGCAAATTTATTACATAATAACATTTTGAATCTCAAATTATATCCACATTTGTTTGGAAAAGTGATTCAGGAGTTACTGTATAAGGCATAAATCACACATTTGTCTTGTTTACTAGCATGTTGCTCGAGTTCAACGGGAGTTAGCCTGGCTCCGCCCTCCTACGTACTTCCGCTCAGTTTTCATTTTCCTTCAGGACTACGTCTGGGTTTGTGGTGTATTCTTTGGTTTTCTCCGGTCAATTTTTGTTTACCGGTCCATTCAAGCGAACAGAGGGAGTGGCTGAGAACGATGACGTTCATGTCGTGCGCTAGTTTGAGTCGTCATAACGTTAGCGATTGGTTATGGCAGATCCAGAGTGGCTCTGGGCAGATCCAATAGATCCAAAGTTAACGCTTGTCAATGGAGCGAGGCCAGACTTATACTGAGTGACAGTACCACTCAAATTTTTGGGGTTCGTAATGATGCTGAAAATTCAGCTCTATCATCACAGGAATAAATGACATATTAAAATATATTCAAATAGAAAACAGTTATTTAAAATCACTATAATGTGTAGGGCTGGGTATTAACACAAATTTCACAATTCGATTCGATTTCGATTCACAAGCTTGCAATTCGATTCAATATTGATTATTTTGGATATCAGGTACAATACATGGCAAATTTTCTCAAGGAAAACAAATCTCTTAACTAATGCTGTAAACTATGGGAGTCAGTTGTAGCCTATAGGCTCATTAGCCTACTATAATATTGAAGGTAAAATTAACTTTGTAGCTATACAAACACTTAAATTACACTTATTTATTTTTATAATAATAAAGGTAATGAAATAAACATTTAAATGGTGGCTGTCATAAAAACTTGCCAGATTTATTCAAACATGCATTAAATATCGAAGAACATAAAAAATTATAATGAATATGTAATATGGTGCATATATTTAGCAAAATGCTCGTCTCTAGAGTTAATTTTTTTCTAGCTGACTAACGAGTTTATGGTCACATATGGTTCTTCTGAGGTAAATGTGACGTTACATGACATTGTTTACAAGTTGTTTGACTGACGTCTTTCCACGGTTGAAACATTGAGCGATTCCGTGTGACATGATACGAATTTCGATAAGTTGTACTCTCTCTTTTAACACTCTTTCAGACGTTCATTCATGTGTATTTCGCGCTGTAACTGGTATTATTAAGGCGGAAGAGGAGATCATGCGCTGCTGCTTCTCTTAAACTGAGCCAGAGCGATCTCACGCCACAGCGCCAAAACGGTATTTATGTTTTTGAATATCGTAAGAAAATGGACGTAATTTGAAATTTGAGACTTTATTTAGTATCAATAGTAACAAAGCACAAAGATTATTGCGATTTATTGGATGGGATGCGCGCTACAATGTTCCATTCATTCGTCAAATGAAAACAGGATGATTAATCGATTCTTGAGATTTAAGAATCGATATCGGTTCGTGAAAATGAGAATCGATTAATATCGAGAAATCGATATTTTTTACCCAGCCCTAATAATGTGTCACAATGTTACTGTTTTGGGAATAACAGACTTTTTAAAACATCTTACACCTATCGACTATTTTTGTAATCGAGTATTCTAACAATTATTCCATCGATTAATCGGATAAAAAAATTGTGGTAATAAAAATACATCCAAGTTAACAAAAGCCTTTAAAATGGCTGAAAATACAAATTTATAATAACAAGCAATAATAATTGGTTCAAATAAAGTATCAAAGTAAGCAATCATATGGGTTTTATCAAACAACACAGTTAAAATACACCATGTAAAAAAAATTATATAAACAACTTATGTACATGATGGAGTTTGAGAAACCCGAGACGCAAATAAATGATAACAGTGCAACTATGAAACACAAAACGAGTGCGACTTTTTGCGTCCCCAAATGCAGAGACTGAGTTAGCGTAGAGCAGCGCTTACTGTGAACGGAGCTGAGGGACTTTTAACACGTAATCTGCACGCATGTAAATAATTAAAGCGTCGTGCTTCTCGGTGGGAAAAAAAGTGCATATATCCATTTAACTGAATCGCAGGCTTTGTGATTTCACAATAGCACAATGCTATATTATGATTGTAAATGGTTTTAATATATCGTGTAGCCTTAGAAAACGGTGTGATCATGCAGTTCATTGATTCTCATCTGCGCGACGCACCACTTCCGGTATTTTGCCGGTTACTCGACACAGGTAAATTGCAAATTCAGTCCCGGACTTTAATGGAGGAATCGTGACGGCCCTAGCTGCAGCTGTAACTCACCGCCTCTCTCCTCCTCCTCTCCTGCTCCCGGCGACGTGCGAGCTCCCTCTGCTGGTCAAGTGCACTCTGGGAGGCGGCGGGCGAGTGGGGCGGGGCTTGGGAAGGTTGCGGGGCCGAGGGCGGCTGGGCCGGGTTCTGGGCTTGGGGCTGAGTTGGAGTTTGGTGCTGCTGCTGCGGCGGTGCCTGAACCTGCTGCTGCTCCGGCCGCCTGCGGGGCTCCTCCTGGGGCCTTCGAGACGTCTCAACCGAGTCCTCCTCGTCACGTCCCCTTCAGAGAGCAAGACCAAGAAAAGGTCTCGAAACTGCTAAAAGTGACCTTTGATTAGAATAGACAAGTTCAGCTCTCTTACCGAAGTTTCTCTTGTTCTCTGCGCTGACGGTCTTTCTCGGCTTGCTCAGCCTGTGCTTTCAGGGCCTTCTCTCGCTCTTCCTTCTCCCGGGCCACACGTCGAAACTGCTCGAAGCTGTCGCTGGAGGACCTCAGAGCAGAAGAGGGAGTGGAGGTGGACTTCTGTGCCAGGCTCGCCCAGGAACCCATGTTCTTTAGTTTCACATCCTGGGCACAAAGCGATACGAGGCGTGAAAACAGCATAACATTCAAGAAATGTTACAGTTGCATTCATGGAAAAGTTAAACAAAGTTGTCCCTTCCACCCACCTGTACCTTTTTAGGTGCCACAGGTGTTTTGGGCTCCTGTCTGAATTTCTCTTTGTCCTGCATGGAAGGAGGTGGACCGCTCTGCTCAGAGGAGCGGATGACAGGACGGGAACTTTCATGTGATTTCATATCTGCTCCTAAAACGGGTTCATCAACAGTTAGTTATGGTCCTTTTATTCGATTGAGAGAGCGGAACCAAGATTAATATTTAGTATAACCGGGATGTTTCGCTGTGCGTAGTGGAAGCAAAGATGTGTGACATTTTTTTATGGCACAACTCATTTACATACTCTGTTCTAGACCAGCTTTCTATTTGTGCAATGCTTCTAAACAATTATTAAAATGTAAAAAAACCCGACATATTAATTGTTTATAAAATAAAAGCAATATAACATGCAAGAGTGGCGCAATTTTGAATATCAGCCCAAAGTGAGCTTAAATTAAACACATGATTGCATGCTTTGAAACTCACTCTGTTGGCTGTGACCTTGCATTGTGGGTTTGCTCTCAGGGTGTTTGTGAGGCTCTGGTCTCAAGGCTGGACTGAAGGGCTCACCACGCATCACAGGTGACGGGGGCAGCTTCTCTTCTTTAATGCCAGCCAAAGCTGAAGGACCTCGCTGCGGTTCCTGTAGCAAACCAAAGCTTCAGTTACACCACACCGAACACACATCTAGAAAACCACAAACTATTCAACACGCAGATATCCACGTGGACATTGGAGAGAATCTGTGTCAATGCAAGAACATGGAAATGGTACTGACCTTTTTGGCCTGAGGAGGGGACTGGTGGGCTAAAGCATACTGAGGGATTTGAGGGGAATGCATCACGAGCGGAGAGGGGTTATCTCGCATGTGTGCTGTTAAAATATAGACACAATTAAAACACTTGCAATGGTGTCCAATACAAATAACAAACGACCTGCCTGGACTTTGGAGATGTGTCAGGGAGGCTTTTATATAGTGTTTATACTATGCAGCTTTTTTTAATTCGTAAGTTTTGGCAAATTCAACTTTAAAAAACACCACAAACTGTGATAATCATCAGTTTAATAGACAATAATAAACAAATACAGTATTGTTCCGAATATAAGACGACCCTAATTATAAGACGACCCCTCCTTTTTCAAGATGCACATTTTGGAAAAAGACTTTGATAAAGAAAATACATAAAAAAAAAAAATCATACTGCATATTAAAATTTTTGTATTGAAACTATGGAAAATACTGGTAAAACGTACCAACGATCACTTTTAAAAATAACCTGTAGCCCATCTGAATTATATAACAATTAGGCTATCCATCTCATAGTGAAAAACATGTAGCCTACCAAAATTTCATTAACAGTAGAAGTGAAATCTGGGTCCCGTCTTACGTTTTAAAATCACGTACGGGGTAAGTTTGGTCCCGTCAGCGCGGCACGTAAACATGACAGTCACGCGGCTCTTAGACGGTAAGCTTTTCTTTGACTGTCTGTGTTTTTAAGGCTGTCTTTTTGGGCTCGCAATCTTCTAACATTCCACTCTGACATCGTTTTTCTTGGCACACGTTTTACACGTATTTGCCGCAACCTATTGTTGCGGGTGTATTATCGATATGTAATAGTCTAGACCCTGAATATAAGACGAACCCAGTTTCTCAAATGTATTTCTAAGAAAAAAAAACGGTCTTATATTCTGAACAATATGGTAAATAGTTGCTGGAAGAGTTACACCATTCAAATAAAGATTATTGTTTTATTAAACAGCTATTTTTTGTACGGCTGTTGTTTTACCTGAGTTGTAGGGGTCGGACTTGTGTTGACGTGGAGAGTGATGCTGCTGAGGCTGTTGCTGGATGATCTGCTGTGCTTTCGAGGAGGGCATGGAGACCTTGTGTTGACTAGACTGCGTTTGCGTGGTCTGCACCGGGCCTTGAGAGAAGCTCAGCTGCTGCGAGTGCTGCATGTGTCTGGCCTGGTGCTGCGAGAGCTGCGGGGAGGGCTGGGCTTGAGTCTGAACGGGGAGCTGTGGCGGGGGTCCCAGCTGAGACTGAACCTGCACCGACTGCAGCAGAGACGGCTGGCCCGGCTGCTGCGACCTGCTCTGCAGAGACTGCATTAGTGACGTCGGCGGCTGCTGCTGCTGCAGGCGGTTCGGCTGCAGGTGCTGCAGGTACATGGGCAGGGGCATGGAGGGAACGGGCTCCTCGTCGTCCTCTAGCAGCATCTGTGGGGGCTGGGAGGAGAGCAGGCCCTGGGGAGTGAGTGTGGGAGGGGAGAGCGGCCGCTGGCGCAGTTGCTGTGGAGGGTGCAGGAGGTGAGGAGGGAGGTGGTGCTGGGGCGGAGGGGGTTGCTGGGGCTGGAGCTGCTGGGGCAGGGTCTGCTGGGGTTGCTGCTGCTGCTGCTGCTGGGGCGTGCTTTGCTGAGGAGGTTTAGGAGGTAGTGGGGCTGCCCTATTACTGGGTCGTGAAGGCTGCTGGGGCATTGCGTTGTGCAGGGCTGTAAACCAATGAATATAGAAAAAGAAAGACGTCAATATAGATCACCGGCAATTTTTTAACAATACTTACAAATAAAACCAAATGCTGCATAAAGAGAATAATATAGCTAATCAGAAAATTTGACATGCAGCCTGCAGAGTACCATTTTGAACCAATGAGATGTGGGCAGTTTGACAACGTGACTGCCTGTCATTAGGCGTCCAATAGAACAGATGGACTTCCCCTCGCTAGTCACGGGGTATTAAGTCTGTCAGTTACGCTTTAAATTTGTTTAGGTTTGGTGTTTATAATAAATGATGTGTATAATGAAAGCCACTATATATATATATATATATATATATATATATATATATATATCACTTGTATATTTATTTTATACTTAAATCTAGGGATGGCCCGATACCATTTTTTTTCAAACCGATACGAGTATTTACATTTGTGTACTTGCCGATACCGAGTACCGATACCGATATTTCTACCGCAAGAGTAATAGGCTCCCAGAAAAGAAGACGACTATTTTAGAACACAGGTCAGAAGACTGTTTTTATTTTCTTCTCTGCTTGTTTTAACAAGTCAAAAAAAAATAATAATAGTTGTAAAATAATAAATGTATTAACACACAAACCACTGTTAATTTAACATAAAAGCAAGCAGGCTACTGCGTGCATGGGCATGACTGAATGCGCGCAAAGTGCGCACCCTTAATAAATCCTAAAAGCTGACAGTTCATCGCGATCTCACACATCTCTGTTATTATCAATGAAGCTGACTGCACAATCAATCTTTCATAATATCCACACTTTGTTTGTTATAATTAGAGGATTTGCCAGCATACAGAATTCAGCACTGAACAAAAAAGTCCGTTTTGAGCAGTGAGGGGAGTCTATCTTAAATGCTTCTGATTGGCCATTGCGTTCAAGAAATCAACACATATGTCTGTGATTGGCTACATCGCTCAACGCTGTAACCATGTTATGAATAGAAACTCTGGCCTGTAAATCGTTTCTATTTTGTTGTAGTTGTTCTTGTTGCTTTTCTGCAAGAGATGAATAAAAATCTATTAGTTTTTATGTTTTATTCATAGATATTTCTAGTTTGCGGGAGTCCCGCGAATCGTTTTATTCTCCCGCACCCGCACACACAGAGTGAGTGCATTACCGCCCGCGCGCGCGCTCGGCCATCAGATCTATGATGCGTCTTCAGATGTTTAATTAGATTGCTGGTGTAAAAACGATGTACTTTCTTTCCCTCCTCTCGACACCTTAGCTGAACATAACTCACAGTCTGCCTTGCTGTTGTCATCATCCCTTATCTTGAAATGAGCCCTAACCGCCGACATTATAGGCTACTTTCCTATGCCTCAGTTCACCTCGACAAAGCTCTCGCGGCGGCCAGTTTCGTTTTGCAAAATGTACGTGGTATCGGTGCGTGGTATCGGGGAATTTTTATGAGTACGAGTACGAGTATATGAGGACAGTATCGGCCCGATCCCCGATGCCAGTATCGGTATCGGGCCATCCCTACTTAAATCATTTCAATTTAATATATGTTGTGGAGTAAAGGGTACTAAAATAGATGTTTACACTGTTTAAAATATTTGTAAAAGTTTCGTTTTATTTACTATTTTACATTTCTTTTGCAAGATAAATATTATTTGCTTATATGTATTCAATCAATGCTGCTGCTTATACATGATCAATTTACTTAATCATGAGAAAAATGTCATTTGTGTGTAACCATTGCATATAAAAACAGGTTTTCTAACTTTGTTTTATTTAAGATATGTTGTTTCTGACAGAGGGAGTAGTAAAGGAGTAATGGTTTAAAAAGAGTATTAACTGTTTAAGAAGGGGACGAATTGAAGGTTTCAAGCATGTCACTGCTCAACGGAGGTTATGCCGTACAAATTAATCTACAAATGCTGTGAGAAGAGATTTGGGAATAATGATTCTTTCTGCTGTCAAGGTCAGTTATGCCGGGGAGAGTTTAGGGAGTCAGATAAGATGTTATTCACAAAGGTCAGGTGGGCATGCATATTATGCGATGTCGAAGCTGGAAAATGTACTTAATTGATAAAAAGTAGTAGGAGGCCTTATGATAATCTGCTCTTTTGTTCATCAAACCAATTTTAGAAAGTCTTTGTTTGCTAAAAAATAAATATGTATGATTTGACTGGTTTGCTTGGAGCTCACTTTGTAGCTCTCTAAGGCATGTTTTGGTTTAAGAAAGACTACCCTGAATTTACTATTGAGTGGGCTTGACTTTAATCTCATATTTGAATTTCCACCACACTTCTACACACAGATGCAACTTATCAGTTTTCTTTTCTCTCAACAATGCAATTTTGACCTGGTACATTTGGAAAAATTACTGCTCCATCAAACCAGGTTAGGACAATACCTTGATGTAATAAACAGGAAGTTTCCACTCACCTGGGGATGGGAGGATGGGGTGCTGGTTCAGGAACGGGTGCGTCTCAGGTGACACTTGGCCTCCTGGAGGGTGAGCGTTGAGGTGAGGCGGCGCAGGGGAGGACGAGTCATTTGCGTGGTGGGGAAGGTGCATGATGGGCTGGCCAAAGTGGGCCAGAGGGTCAAAGGGGTTTTCCAGGAGCTGCGAGGGCTCCAGAGCCGTGACGGGAGGAGGCATGTAAGCGGCGGGAGAGGGATGCTGTTGTGGTTTCAGCTGAACGCTGGGCTGCAGCGCAGGGGTCAGGGGTTGATGGGGAACCTGTGGCTGAGGCATGCCCAGAGACACCGCCTGGTGAAACGCCTTCTTTCCTTCACCCCTCCCTCTCTTCTTCAGCTTAGACGCCACCCCTGAGTTTGTGAAGAGGAGATTCTTTATGTAATGCAGCTTCTTGGATCATTTAACATAGCAAATGCATTAGAAAATCAGTTGGTCAGGCGTTATCAAGCTGCAGGGCTCACCTGTCTCTGAGTCTTCACTTTCTGAGGAGCTGGACTCGCTGCTGCTGCCCGACTCCGATGATGAGCCTTTTGTCTTTGCAACACTCATTGCCTCCATGGTCTTCTCTGGAACTAAAGGATGTTAAACAATAAATAACAGACACTTGTAGACACTTGTATTTAATGGTGTCCATGTTGCAGCACCTGTGATGGACATTAATATCAAGTGTAAAAAGGATCCAATGATGTTTACATGCACTAATTTTCATAATTCAGATTGAAACCAGTCTGATTTCAGATTCTGAAAGTTCTGTTTGTATTAACCCTGATTTACATATTCGTTTACATGTGCATTATATGTATCCTAAACTTTTTTGACAAATATTTAGTAACTATTCAGTCTCCTTCACTGCCCAGCTCACAAGACGTGAGATGTAAATAAACATAAGCACATTTGTAAGATAAAAATCATATGTAAACTTGTGGCACATAAAATTATGTCACTGCGCAGGAGCACAAGTTAATTTTTTAATCAGATTCGGATTCAATTTTTCCCTACTGTTCAGATTATTCCACCAGCCCTTCCAATCGAAATTTCATTCAGATCAAGCTCAAACGGCTCGATAAAGGCTTTTCAAAACGATTGAACAATTAATGCTATTACTTCCAGATAGAGTTGTTCCGATTCCGATACTAGTATCGGAAATGCCACCGATACCAATAAAAATTCTGGCATCGGTATCGGCGAGTACTTCTACCCATGTACCGATCCGATACCGTTTTCTTAAACAATAACTAGTTATGCACGCCAGCTTTGCTTAACGCTGCAATTCGAAGATCAATTCTTCTTCGCTGCTCTAAACAGTGGTTGCGTCTCTGTTGCCACAAGTAACCACTGTTTAGAGCAGCGAAGAAGAAAGCGCGCGCTAGCAGTATGTCCGTTGTTTGGCAGTTTTAAGACTGGACCAACCAGCCAGTAAAACAGCGACATGTCTCATATGCTATACTGCAATTGCGAGGGGTGGCACAAGATTAGCAGCTTCAAGACTTAAAGCATTTGAAGACGCGTCACCCCAAACCGGCAGAACACGATGGCAAGGGCAGAGAAGGATGAGCCGCGCCAGAATCAACAATCTCTGGAAGCTTCATTCAAGCGAAGAGAAACGTTTTCAAAAGACAGGCAACGAGCGATAAATATAACCCACAAAATTATCGAGTTTATTGTTCTGGATGACCAGCCGCTGTCAAAACTGAAATGCCGTGTATTTAACAAAATTGTTTCTTGACTAAGTTATAAAGAGGTTATTTTCTTATATTATTCATATATCATTTTTTTTAGATTCCTAGATTTATTTGTTGCACTTTTTTATACAGTTATATTGTAAATCTAAAATACCTTTTTCAGTTTAAAGAATTAGATGTGTGGCTGCATTTTAAGTTATTTTTCACTTAATAAAAAAAAAATATATATTGCTGTGAAAAGTATGTCAGATAATAAAAATACTCTAGTTCACTGTATGTATTTGTTCATGTTTTATTAAGGGATAAGTCTGAAGCACACCATAATTCTATCAATTCATACAGGGCTAGTATGAATTGCAGCTGTATAGATACACACCCAGGTATCGGATCAGTACTCGGTATCGGCCGATACCCTGAGTCCAGGTATCGGAATCGGTATCGGGAAGGGAAAAAGGGTATCGGAACATCTCTACTTCCAGATTGTTTTGGTGCACGTAAACGTAGCTTGTGTTTTGCAATTACGCAAAACTATCTTCTGTGGACGTGAGGAACTCAAATGGATACTAATGTGTCCCAGACTACATTCTGGGACAGGAGTGTCCAATCCTGCTCCTGGAGGGCCACCATCCAGCAGAGTTTACCTCCAGCCCTAATTAAACTCATCAAGGTCTTCAGGATCACTAGAAATTTCCAAGCAGGTCTGTTGGAGCTCAAACTAAAGAGCAGGATTGGAAACCCCTGTTCTAGGGCCACCTACTCATGCAAAATGCAATTATGCCAAACAAGAGTTTTTTTTCTATGTAGGTACAGCCATACATCATCTGATCCAACTGAGTACTTGTGGTTGACATGAGAGGCTGATATTAATGGGTGTAAACAGAACCTCTGTGTTAAAGAAAGCGATGCTCTTGATCACTCACCGACAGGCTTCTTCTTCTTGCGAAGACAAGACGACACGTATCTCTCCAGCTCCCGCAGCGTAGAAGGCTTCAACGTCTCAAAGTCGATCTCAATCTCGTCTGGATTGGAGTTCTTGAGCGAGGGCTCGCGGGACTGGATGATGTGGACCACACGGCCCAGCTTGTCTCCAGGGAGCTTGTTAATGTCCAGACTCAGTTGTCTCTTCTCTTCATAGGACATGGGTTTACACTTCTCTCCAGCAGCCATGCCTGCCATTGCGGCTCCACCAGTCAGTCCCAGATCCTCCTCAGAATCCAGGCCTACCACAGGCTGCAGGATTGGTGGGGCGGCGCCTGGGGGAGCCATGGAGCGACTGCCCTTACCACCTCCCTCCTTCTTGCTATAGAGCATAAGATGACAAGAACATCTCATTTTCCATGACTAGACAGTTAAAGGGTGGACCGCAAAATTCGAAGGATCACCAAATTGATAAAAGCAATCAAACCATGCAATTTTGCATACTTTCTAGCCTAAAATGGGTTTGCAACAATCAAATGTCTCAGCCTACCTCAACTTCTTAGGCTTCTTAGGAAGAGGATCCTTGTTCTTAGGCTTTCCTTGAACCTTTAGGGCGGGAGGCGGCTCCAGGATCTCCTCTAGTGCAGGCATGACTGCTGCTTTCCTTTTGTGCTTGTCTTTCTTCTTCTCCTTCTTTTCCTTCTCTTTCTTCTTTGGTTTGCTGGCCGGAGGCTGGGACAAGGCAGCCAGCTGCTCATGAACCGCTTTCAGCTGAGCAACAAAGAAGAAACAAGAAATTGGGAGATTACAGTCTCTCAGTAGAAAGCATCACATCTATGATACACGTCCACAATATCTATAGTGACCGATCTCTTGGCCAGGTCTTCAGAGACGTGCTGGCAAAAGCCAAGTAGTAAAGAAGATCTAACTCACCTGCTCCTGAAGCTCTGCTAACCTCTGGGCTCTCTCCTCTTCAGAGTCATCCGTGGAGGAGTCGGATTCCGATGAGGAATCACTGGAGCTGTCTGAGGACGAGGCAGGGCCCATGGGCGGCTGTGTCTTTACAGGAGCCGGGTGGAGCACTGGCGCAGGAGCAGGTGCCAGCATTTCCTCTGGCTCATCGGGCATTTTAGCAAAACGCATCTCAAACACATCCTACAGAAAGAGAGAACCTTTTGAGGATCTAGTATAAGACTCTTTTCATCCTCTTTTCAGAGTTCAGAAATGAAAGTCTAACAACATAGTTTCTATACTGAACACCTGAATTTTCCTATAAGTGGAATATTTCTAAATCCCTTCCACACTTCACTGTCAATTAGGAAATTAACAGCGGCTTGTGACAAACATAAAAAAACCTCCAAAAATAAATACATAATGCCCTACACCATTAAACAAAATCTATTACGACTGCTCCGATTAAAGTGAAATGTTAAAATGTGTGAAAAGTGTTTCAGCAAACAATTTTATTTTGATTAAATTGACATTAATAATCATTATTAAAATATCAAGAGCAATAATTGACAATGATTTTTGTCCTAATATTGTAGCCCGTCCATTTAATGAGCTCCTGTTTTTGTTTTATAATTTATAAAATGTAGGCTATTTACATTATGCTACCTTTGAGCAGCATTAAACAGTGTGTAAATAAATAAACATGCCATGTCAGATTCAGCTCCCGTGCCACCTTTGCAGTGTAATGATGACTTTTGGCATGGTCTGTTGACTATATTGACACACATTGACTAGCAGACTAGACGTCTGACTAAAAAAAGAACGCGTCATGCAAGCCCTAATGTACACAGTCTTTTGCAGGTGTCCACGTACCTGCAGTTTGCGTGCCATAGCCACCACTTCATGGTCTGGAGGGTTGTACTTGTAGCAGTTGGAGAACATTAACCGTACATCTGCTGCAAACTCCTGAGCATCTCTGTACTGTCTGGTTTCCAACTTGTCCTGCACAACCAAAGAGAAAACTGAACAAATAAGCATGGAGAGCAAACAAGGCTCATCCTTCGATTTAGATCCAGCGACTGCATACTCACCTTAATAGTGCTGAGGTCCATGGGATGTTTAATGATGTCATGGTAATCGTGCAGCCCTAAAGCATCCACATCCACTGGCTTGTAGAAGGGCCAAGCGTATGCTGCATGTTTCTTAGCGTACATGTCCTTTACGATGCCCAAGCAGTAGCGTAACTGTTCTTGTTGCTTGGGGCTGTGGGTCCCAGTGGCGACTGTCCCATGGTGCTGGGAGTCTGGTGCCTCCTTTTTGGGTAGTTTGCTTGGTCGTGTACTATCCCGGCGTGGCAGAGTCTTCCCTGACTTTGACTCGGCGGGCGAGGACTCGCTCAGCTGGTCATTTGCCGTAGGTGTCGTGGTGTCTGCTTTCCTTTTCTGACTTTTTCTCTGCTGCAGGTGAAAATTTGTATTTAGGCGAGTGATGAGAGAAAGACACAACTTAAAAACAAAGATTGACACTATAGTTGAATGTTATGGGCCAACTTACTTTGGGAGCCATTGGGATGGGGCTTTGTAGAATAGGAGCAGTGCTCTGCTGCATGTGCACGGGCGGCAGGGCAGTTTGGGTGGGAGGAGGCACAGCCGTCAAGATGGGGGCCGGTGGGTTGCAGTCAGTGGGGCCCAAAGAAAAAGGTGGCCCTAATTGAGGAGCGAGGGGAGGGAGTGAAGGGAGTGAAGGTAGTGAAGGGAGCGAAGGGGGCACTCGAGAGGGCAAGGCTTGCATGGCAGATTGGGGAGGTAAAGTAGGTGGACCCAGTGGTGGTCCTCTAGTTTGTGGCCCAGGGGCAAGACCGGAAAGGCCACGTGTTTGAGGGATTGTGGCCGAAGACTCAAGGACAGGCCCAATCTTCAGGTTTATGTCTAATAATATAGAGAAAAAGAGAATACAAAAGAATTAAGGCCCGTTCACACAGATAACAATAACTACATTAGTGTCCACACCAGCTGACAACAACATTGTTTATTCTAAGTGCATAGAAGTGCATTGTCGTCTGATAATCTGAGATCTGTAAAACTAGCATTTCTGTTGTAGTTATCACAATCTGATGCTACACCATTCAGGATAAAAGGGCACTGACAGCCGTTCATAGCAACAAAGCAACATCATTCAAATAAAGGTTGGAGATTTGAGGTGATGTACACCGTCAGAGATAGGAAGTTAATGCAAATGTGCAGAGACATTAAGACCTGTGAAGCCCAGATGATCTTCTGGCTGATACAGCAGTCAAGTAGGACACGTAAAAGGGCAGCAGTGTGAGTGGCCCTCAAGTAAGAGAGAGTATGAGATTTATACCTGGATCCCTCCTGCCCCGGCCACGACCCTTGCCGGATGAGGTCGACATCTCGATCTCCTGCTGGGGCATCTCTGAAATCTTGGTGAGGAACACCTTCTCCAGCGCTTCTGCCATTAAGACTATGTCATCCCCAGGCTGCAGGGGGCGACACATACCATTAACCACATGCCCAATCACACCACTTCAGCCCATTGTCAATGATGGCAGCAGAGATGTGAACCTGTACCTTATTGTAAATGTAGCAGTTAGTAAACATGGTGTTGAAGTCTTGAATACATTCTTGGGCATTGACGTAGAAACTGTTCTCTAGGCGTTTCTTGATTGTTCCCATGTCCATAGGATTTTTGATTATCTTGTAATAGTCCTACGGAGAGGTGGTTACAAAAAGTCAGCATGACGCAACACAATCCATAACATAATGGCCTCATGATGTTATAAAAACAGCAAGCAGCTTTGAGACTTTCAATGGAGGACATTTTTGACAGTGGTCCATTTGAATTTGAACTTTTAAAATACTGCATTAAGTACGTCAAGATTTACAGGGTTAAGACTGTAGCCCGACTAAAACCCCACAATAGCTTGATTATAACTACTTGATGTAAATTGATGCATTTTATTTGTGAGAAGGTTATGTAGCAAAAACATACTCAGTGGAAATGCGGGGCAGTACAGAGAATAAATCGCACATCATCAGACAGAGGACCTGCTCCAGCATGACAACTAGCACCATTTGAGTGGCTAAAGAATTGCAGTAAACATCACTGTCTGACAGGACCTGCTCATCACAGACATGACTGTAAATGGATGTAGATCACTCACAGGCAGATTTAGCTTAATGGCGTCAACAGGAGAGTGGAAAGGCCAAGCGAACTGATGCTTCCAAAGAGACTTCAGCACCACCTTAAGCAGGTACTGCAGCTGGTTGGTCTGACGCTTGGGCCGAGTAGGGTTGGCGATATCTGGGGGATTGGGGTTTAAGAGGGAAGGGGCCTGGGACGAGGGCTGCCCCTGACTGCTGCTGCTCCCCGACATCTGCACTGCGTCCAGGCCGTCTCCCATAATGAAGGGGTGGAGCGGGGGCAGAGGGACGGGAGGGGCTGGGGCAGGACACCACTCGTTCAGTCTCGAGCCAGGCGCGGGCTCCACAGGGAGAGCACCGCTAATTCCATTGCACTCCTCGCTGGACTCTCTGTGAAGGAAGCAAATCATAGTCATTAGCTCTTTAATTTACATCTATGCCATCTGCATCAGATCCATCACTGTAATCATCACCATCATCTCAATTATACTTAACTATCCGCACACATCCTCTCTGCCCCCCCAAACAGCATTATTCAAATGGTTCATGTTTGCTTAAGTAATTGCCCGTGGATTCTCGAATTATCCCCTGATGTGGTCTGAATCATTAACATCTCGCAAAGGACTCGTACTGAGATTTAAAGAAGGACCCGACTGCTTCAAGTAGGTGCTGTCTAGCCAAATGTGGCACAGGTATTAGTGTGTAATATGATAACACTTAAGTAATCTGCAGGAAAAACAGAAACATGCCACCTTTTTGTTGACCAGTGTAGGCTAGTCAATATAATCTGTACAATGAAATGATTAATTTCAGCCTTTCACTAATGCTTTTAGCAGCATGTAACCAATAAGATACACAGAAAAAAAAAACATAGGGTGAGGACTTGCTTCTTTGCATGGGTTATTGACTGGATGGAGGCAGATCTGAATGTGAGCTTGCTGTCGATTGTAAAGGGGCAGAGTTTAACTGAAGGAAATGATTGGAGAACTTTGACACACGTCACCAGAGAGCAGTCTGTCATTTCACAGGAAGATTGAGCTATGAGATCGATTGAGAATGACGAGATCAAAAACAAAAACGCATGGACAAAAAGATCAATAACATGCATTTAGAATGTTAATTTCATGCTGACTTTAACGTTAAAACCTGAATACTTAATTCTGCTGACACCGAAAAACATCTACTGTGCTTATCAGTTTAAAATGTTTCTTTATTTTTTAATTACATTTTTCTATTAGTAACTTGTTACTTAAATTCAAAGCTTACTACTTTGAATATCAACAGCAGTCTTGTTTTGAAAATCTGTAGTGACGACAGCAAAAGTTGGCACTGGTATCAACTACTGAAATTGACAAAGAAAATTACATCTTGCTTTACAATTTTAAACAATACAGCTTGAAATTTGCATTAAATGATGACTTCCTTTACTAACAGTATGACTTAAATCTAAAAATACACCACACAGCGTACTATGAGCTGGGCAATGACTAGTGTTTTGCTCATGTAAGATGATCAGATAATTGTGTTTGAGTAGGGGAAAGAGAGAGATGAAGAGCAATGTGTGAGCTCATCAACACGACTTGCCCAGGTGACCCCATGACCAAATGAAGCCTCAGAGTCATGTGGCAGAGTACAGCTTATGTTGAGCTCAGCACACAAACCGTATTCGTTCCCGCAGACCATCCTGCACCTCAACAATCAATTCTTGCTCCTCAGCCAGTTGTTTCTCGATTGAAGCATGTTAAAGGTCAGCCTGGTAATTGATACCAAAGGAGGACCAAAATGTCTTTGCCTCTCTAGTAATCACACACCCACCACTGCCTCGGTAATCTGGCAATCCCCACAACTACACTTCCTGCTAATGAAACCTCAAGTGACCTCATACTGCTCTCAAGAGCCTTATATTTAATCTCTCTACAGGCTTTCAAGAGGAACCTTTAAACATCACAACTGCAGCACTACTACTGAAAGCATGACTCGGCTGAGTCAACTGAAAAACGCTTCAGGTTTAGACAGCCGTAAATAATCAGAATGGGAACATTCAGAGCGAAACTGGACGTCTCTGTGCTTAAAGAAATGAGAAAACGGGATCATCAGAGGAACGTGTTATGACATCTGATAAAGTGTGTGGACAGACTGCTATTCCCCTGCAGCATGCATCTCACAGTCACACAAGAGTTGTAGTGACTCGTTGGCACAGTTGCTCTGTCTCCTGTCAAGTCTTCATAAAACATGATACACCAGAATGTATTCAGTCGGGATGAGTCCACGGTGACTTCCATTCCTGAATCATTCAAAATGACAGACCTAGCAAAAATAATCAGAATTTGCTACAGCAGGATGAAGCAAAAGGGATCCAGTCTTAAAGAGCCCTCCAGTGTACTTTTCTGCGGTCAAATTAGGGGTATTAAGTTAACCGCTGCAGGTCGGACGGTAGTAGACTTGTGTTCTGTCATTAAATGTACAGAAGCTTTGGCTGTAATATAATGATTTTACAGCACAGCAGCTGCCAAGTGTTCTCTCACTTTGAGACGCTTCATTTCATGTCGTCTTTAGTTTTTGTTAGAACATTAAATCATGCCATTCATTGGGTCTCAATCGTGAAACCTGAGCAAAACAAACCTGTAAGTTGTTCATAAAACCATCCTTATGTAAACTGTTGCGCCGAACTCCATGCAACAGTTTACACAAGAACGGCTTAAAAACGATTTATACAAACTTCATCATGCTTGTGTTTCCTGAAGCATTAACTAATAATTTGAGTATAAGACGGACTTAATTTCTCAGTGGTGTGGCAGAGAAAAACTCCTAGTAGAGAAACAAGTAGATCATGGGTTCACAAACTAATGAAAAAGAATGAATGATGTCTGGGATAAAAACATTAAATGACATTAAATGAAAACAAATCAACAATGAAATGCAGCATCTCACAAAAACCCAAACAAGCAATTTCTCTCACACACACATGCACTAAAACTCCTGTCAAACGGGGACTTAAATGAACATTTTTGAGTGATGGGAAAAAATAAACCACTACCACTGCATTGTTGTTTAGAATGATTCATCGAAATGAATTCATAGAAATTAATCTGTTTTTGTAAATTATGTTTAGAGTATGAAGTGCAATATATGGTGTGAAGAAACTTTTTCAGTTCCCCTCAGATACACATTCATATACCCCGCCCTCCACACAAACCTCTTTAAAACCTCACAAATTTGCACGCGTCACATGACTGGCCTAACTCGATGTCAGAATGGTCCATTTTGGGGACACTGGGTCTATTCTCTAATGTGGAGCTGTCAAAACTCAGACAAGGACAGTCAGCGTTCTGAAGCACGCCACGAGACTAATCGTTTACAAGATGCTAATCGTCCCATTTGCCGTGAAGATCCCCGGGATTGGGCAACAGTCTGTGACTCCAGAACAGGATGTGTGTGTGAGAAAGTATTCTTCAAGTGTGAGTGCTTGAGGGTAAATATATTTCTTTCACATCTGGCAGTGCCTGTAGCTGCTGCGAGGGTCTGCGGGTTCACCAGCATCCACTCCTCTTCATAGTGCGGGTCTCTGGAGGGCTCAGGATGTGGGAGTTCAGCTCTGAGTTCACTTCACTGCTCCGTAATGGGGGACATCATGTCCAAGTCGGTACACAAAGAGCACGAGAATAATCTTCAGCCCAAGGCCACGAGTACACACACAGCTAAAAATACCCCGAACTATGGAGGAAATGCAACCAAAACGGGGTGGGCTGGGGCTGAGCTGAAGTACCCTGCAGGTCCTCGGACACGACATATTCGGGTTGCCATACATTTCGCTTCTTTTCCGAGTCTAAAAGTATCTGTATACACACAAAGCACTTGTTTATGTCTGACTAACCGCATTCTTGATGACTCACATAGTGACGAGAGAAACAGTTGGTAGATCACATGACCACTATATCAAGCCTAGAGCTCAGACTCAGAGAGAGGGAGCTGACGATCTGCCAGCGTGACTACTCAGGAAAGAATGCCAAACTGTCTGTTACCAGTAAATGAACACTCACTCACTGCTGCAGGGAAACATTTCTAGAGCCACCCTAAAAATCCAGTCAGAACTCATATAGATGAATACATGATCACACAAAGCTGAGCTAATTACACTCTCGGTCACAAGTTTGATGTTAGTACGTTTTTTTTTTTTTTTTTTTAAAGAACTGAATATCTTTATTCAGTAAGGATGCATTAAATTGAAAAGTAGACATTTATAACATTACAAAAGATTTCTATTTGAAATAAATGCTGTGCTTTTTAACTATTTAAATCACAAAAGAAGCAGCGCAACTGTTTTCAACACTGATAAATGAAAAAACTGAGCAGCAAATCAAAAAGACATTTTTGTAGAAAATTTCACAATATTACTGTTTTTGTTGTATTTGTGATCAAATAAATTCAGACTTGGTGAGCATAAGAGATCATTTAAAAAAAAAACGTATCCCTAAACTTTTGAACTGTAGTGAATGTTTCAGGTTCAACAACTCCAGTGCGTTCTGTAGCATGCTGTCCATTTCCACAGACAATGATTTTGACCAGTCCCTCAGTCTGTCAGGGTAAATAATGGAAACCAATGAAGCTATGCATTCAAAACGGTATTAAAATCCACTTCTGGTATCCTTGTTCTGGTAAAAGTCATACCAGAGTAACTATACATGGACATGACAACAGATTAAATGGCTAAAACCAGTAAGTGATTATTTTAAAAAATTGAATGTTAACATCAAAACATTTTTAAGCCTTCTAGAAATGCTTTCAAAGCAGTATTTTAACAATTTTCCAAGTCAATACAGCACGATATTGCACTTGGACTGTAAATACATTAATAATAGGGCTGGGCATTGACAAAGTTTACGATTCGATTCACAAGCTTACGATTCAATAGGCTTTATGCCGAGCGTCACGTGACCAAGCCGGAAAACAGATCACATCGCTTCCGATTCAGGTCTTTTGTATGTGCTTCATGATTTTTTTTTGCGGTTTTACTCAAGATAACTTAAAAGGAGCAAGCAAAAATGAGCATAACCAATGTCCCTCGCATGTGCAGATTAGGGATGGGCATTATTAATCGACGATCGATAATTGATCATTAAGAATTTCGTCGATCATGTTAATTTGTTATCGATAAAAAAAAAAAAAAAAAAAAAAAAAAATACTTTCCTCTAAATTAGGGATGGCCCGATACCGATACTGGCATCGGGGATCGGGCCGATACTGTCCTAATATACTCGTACTCGTACTCATAAAAATTCGCCGATACCACGCACCGATACCACGTACATTTTGCAAAACGAAACTGGCCGCCGCGAGTGCTTTGTCGAGGTGAACTGAGGCATAGGAAAGTATAATGTCGGCGGTTTGGG